GTGACCACGAGGCAGGGGGGGGGGGGTTGGGAACCCGCGGCTCTTCAAAGACTGCTGCTTCGTGACGTCATTTATTAAGGGACCCGCCACCGTCACGTGTTCTCGCCATCGCATTTGCGGCTCTTGAAATATTCGAACAAAAAATGCCTCTCCTTGTGATGTCGATTGCCGACCCCTGCACTGGGACATGCCCCATCATTACAGCATGCAGGTGTTGTTGGTGCTGCTTCTATGAATATGGCAATGCAGTACGAATATTACTTCGTAATTTTGCGGTCGGCTTATGCCTGCTTTTATCTATCGACTTCTGCCCAATTTATTTTTTATCAACTTCACACCTAATGAAGGTGACCGTTCATATAAAGCGTTTAAGCACGATACTTTAAGAAAATTAGAATGTTAGCCTGCCCCTGCCCCTATGAGTGAAACCAGTCAACCTGCGGTGTAATATTTTTTAAAGTTTCCAATTTGAACGTAAAAAAAAATGTTCCGTTAACACGCAGAGAGACTCGCCTACGGCTGTGTCAAATTTAATATTTCGTGTCTTTCTGTCACGTCAAAATAATCTACATTAGTCATTCTGTGACACACTCACAGCCGACGAAATGTAATGATTAATTATGTGGAAATGCTACAAATGCATAAGGAACAAAAATGGAATTACCGTGGACAAGACAAGAGGCTAATGGGCATACTTAGTGAACCCACACACAGTACAAGACCATTCGTCAGACATCCATTAAAAGGAAGGAGAAATGACTCGGCCTATTTGAATCAACATTGCTCTGATTTCCCTTTCTTTCCCTTTCAACTATGCGAGCAACTCGCAGATTTTCGAAACCGAATTGTTACTCTGAAGAAACCACGAACTGCGGGAACACTGTTTACAGTCCCGACCTGATTAAAACCGCCACGTCTCGAGCTTATACGACAGGGTAACTGCCCGATTAAGTCATTTGCAGACAATTTCAGATAATAATTGTATTTGAATGTATAGTTACTTAATTTCCACGTAACACTCACTCGCTGTGTCCTGCGTACATTCATTTGGTAGTATATAAGTAATTTACAAGCCAGGCCCAGATATTTCACTTGTCGGCACATTATCGGTTCCCATTTCTCAATGTAGCCAACAACAGTGGGATATGCAATAACTATTGGAATTGAGTGGGGTTATAAGATAACTCTCGTTAGCCATCTATATATAAATTGGCACCACTAAAATATTGCCACCTCGTGTGGTACAAATTTCTATCTCTGGCCACGGACTACAATGGTGAGCTTTAAATCAAGATTGATATTAGATTATACTTGTCACAAGCAGAACTTTTTTTTGGGGGGGGGGCGGGTGGTGGGGGGGGGAAGAGCATATACATTAAAAAAATAAGTTCTCTCCATCACCCACAATATTTTTTCGGGATAAAAACATCACCTAAATCGGCTTGAAAAGTGAATTGTAAACAACTAAGAAGCAACTGGAATTCTCACGACCAGAATAGAAAAAAAACAACAACAAACAACCAGAGGAAAAAAACCGACAAAAAAACAAAGAGAATCATCTTCTCTCGCTCTCTCTCCTCTCTCCTGCTCTCTCCGAGGCTTATTCCCTTTAATTGGCCAAGTGTTTTGTAAACCTCGCTGCCGGGGAAGGGGATCGCTTACAGCCTTACACACACACAGAGGCCCTCTTGAGTGAACGGCCTTCCCCAGCTCCTTGTGCCCTAGACACGGGACACGCATGGCTGCCCGGCCCAGATTAACTGTTGGCGCAGCTGTCGGAACCCACGGGTGAAAATGGTGGTGGGCATACAGGGGTCACGAGTGGGGGCAGTTTATAAACGGGACCCCAGAGACGGGACACCCCCCCCCCCCTTCCGCTCGCTCCATTCCCCGCTGGTCGACTCCTGCTGTGCGATCTGGTACAGGGGAAGGAAGCGATGGCGAGTTGTGGATGGCATTGGTCGAGGTGACATCTAATTCTAACTTAAGTGGCCCCCTCAAACACCCCGAGCTGGTGCTTATGAAAGGGGGGCACACCCCCCGACCCCTTATAGAAAAATCGCCACTGCCATCAGCCTCGTCCTCGACACAATCCTAGCACAAGTGTTTACCTCCAGGACATCCTCCGAAAAATCCACTTCCAGTCTGAAAAGGCCGTCTCACCAGCAGCAGCAGCAATCATTGAGCCACCGATGCCTCCCAAACCAAAGCCGTGACAATCTCGCACGTATACCGTGAGCATCTCACCTGCGGTTATCACAAAAGCGACGTCGTCTTCTCTCGTTGCTACCGTAACCACGAGGCCACTTAATACCTTAATCAGCCACCTGTGCCGCCCAGAGATCCCAGGCGGCGGCAGTAGCAATGTCCTTGTTTTCACAGGTGCTCGCCACATTGGGAGAGAGGCATTAAGGGGCGGAGGGGGTGTGAAGACACAGACCGGGGGTGGCCGTATTCTTTGTTGTATTTACAAAGCAGCAACAAAGAAAGCAAGGTGTTGGGCTGCAGCTCCCCCAACAATGTGTTGCTACTCCACCGATTCGTGGCCTCCGGCAAGAGAAACGGGAGCCGAAGCGGTGCAACACGCACACGCCTTGAATAGGTGACGACGACGATGATGATGGTGGGGACGATGAGACCCAGAAGGTTGAATTCTGCCCTGCGTCTTCTCGCTTAAAAGAAATGCTGTTTGATAATATTGGTCTGGCAAAATAACCATTTTATTTTGACACGTAAAGCCCACCGAGCTATATAGTTATTTTTCAGAAGTAACCTGGCCACAATTGATAGTTCAACGAAGTGACTTGGCATTTATATCAGCCAAATATTATACACGGATGTTGCTAAATGTGGAGAGAAAAACCGGAGGACCCGGAGAAAAATCCACGCGATCACGGGGAGAGACACATGCTAACTCCAAAATCATACTGATCTCCTCCTGCATACCGATGCAAGACACTGGGATCACAAATAATAATAATTAATGATACCGGAGCTTGTTTTTATTACACGCATAGTATACCTGCCAACCCTACCGATGTAAATGATAGGTTGCCGATGTTCAAAAACTCGTGCGGATGTTTCAAAACCGACGCAAATCGGCAGCCTGCCGCTTAACTTGGCCGAATTGTCAAATATGGAAGAATGTATATAAATATCCAGGGTGGTATGCATGTCTTGAAACCCTTCAAACAATTGACCCCGAACATTTATATTCCTTTGTATTAATTTCTGTTTTAAATAAACCTTACTTGAAACATGGTACGTTTTAGAGAATTAAATGGGGATCAAAAAGCATCTAGGCCACCCTGTATATTGTGAGTGTTATGTTAAATAATAACAGTAATGGAATTACCAACCTTTAGTCAACCCACTGCTGTATGAAGATCCCCCCCCCCCCTCACGTCGGTTAATGGCGGGTTGTTTGACCATACTTCACCATGCTGGTCGGTGCAGGTTGGTGAAAGGGGGCGAATCGGCTTAGATAGAACTCAGCAGCCACTTATGTTCGCCGTAGCCGGGATTCGAACTCAGGCCACCGGGTTTGTGGCGCGGTTCTCCCCATGCCACCGTTCTCCGTAAGCATTGTCACGAGCTGCAATATTCACGATGCTAGTTTCTTGTTATGGTTTAGGGGCTACGCTCGGCGGTTATTTTACGTACGGGGTTTTTGTTTTTTATACCAACATCTAAATCATGAAGAATTAAGAATCGGCTTTACCCCTTGTAGCAATAACAAAATCGATACTTATCGCAAGGTATCAATGTCTGGCATGAACCACAAGTACTTGTGGCAAAACATGCAAAACAAACATGCTCTGATAATACACGCATTGTCCATGAAACTAATTATAATTATTGTATGAATGCGTGCTCAGAGGGCATGGGCACCTCGCCCCGGGGTACGCGATGTTCCTGCCTCGAGTCGTTGCAGCGAATGGAGCGACCAGGCATTGAGAGATGAGAAGAAGACGACAAACAGAACTCGGGTTGATGGGTGGCGCTCAGATACAATAAGGCTGCGTGGTACTGTGGTCGTGTTTTACGACGGCTTCCGCTTTATTCGTGATGCACTCGGTCGCGATTACTTAATTTAGCTCAGCTGCGCTGCAAGTGTAATTTGACGATTGTTAGATGAATGGCTGGTGATCATGATGATGGGTTCATCTTAATAATTCCGCACGCGTAAGTTAATTACTACGATAATTTCATGCTCGATGATTAACGGAGATGTGCTTTTTAACTTCGTGATGGTGCTGCACGTGGAACTGTTAATTTCAAACTCGCTGATGAATACGCTCATTTGTGTTGCACATGTAATTTGATGACGCTGATGGTTGGTGTTTATAGATGGTCGACAATTAGATGATCATGTAGCGTAATGATAATGATGTCAGCTCGTTGGTGCTGCACGTGTAGATGATGATTGATAATGATCAACGTTGCCGATGTAGATGATCGGAGCTCACCCGTGCTGGACATGCAAATTATTACGGTAAAAGTGCAGCCCTGCAATTGAGAGTCCCCCAAAGGACGTTTTGGCCTACTGTCCCACGCTGACCAGACATCCTGAAGAAGGGGGGTACCCACACTTTACCCCACCATACGGGACCAGCCGATTCACGAAACGTGGTGGTGGACCATGCTTTCATACTGCTGAGTGGGCAGAAGTGGTGGGCGGAGTGGATCTTTAAGAAACGTGCCCATTGTTTTCAACTGCCGCGCCTGGAGATCGAACACGCGACCTCTTGTACGCCGTACCTCCGATTAGCTCAGTTGGCAACTAGACTGCAAACTAATTTCTTTAGAACCGCTTTTTGTGTTTAGCTTGTTGTCCTTCGCCCGCATCTCCGATTAGGACGATTGGCTACGTACGGTGCGAAAGCATTTCAACATACACACACCAAGGCAAGTATTCTCTGACGATGATGATGATTTTGATGGTGGTTGGTGGTGGTAAGGAGCACACATTCCAATCAATGACGCTCCACGTGTTACAATTGTTGATAATTGATAGTTTTATTCCCTTGTGTTTAACACAGGCTCTCTCGCGGCGGGTTCAGCGAATGCGACTTTCGAAGCAACGTGTTGCTACGACGCCCGGACCAATTGTTTAATGAGCTCGACCAAAACGAAAACTGTTTGCGACCAGCTGAGTCAGTTTGGGTCGCGCGTGGCTGTGTGTGTGCGGCCTGACAGCGACGGCGCGATTATTTTACGAGATATAATTTCAGAAATTAGAAACGACAAAAAAAACGTGCACCTCCTATCGATATAGAAATTAGAAATGTAACAGAGAGACGCGAAACGATAACAAAACGAGTTCGATATATCACTATTCCATCATTAACCAATGTAACGTTAGAAATCACACACACGTACTATACAGGCACCCGACACACTTAGGGGAGGCAAATCCTATGAACACCACAATCGACACGTGACAAACGCAAGCGACCATTATCCAGAGCCAGTGGTTATACATTTTACAAGTGTAGTATATATGACGTCTATCCATACGGACTTTTCTACCACGATCGTTTGTCTTCAGTTTGGAAAAAAACACACACACACGCGCACGTTCAACAATCTCCACGGGAGCGCTAAATATACTCTCAACTGATATCCCGTCGACATTTCGTTTTGATTTACATTACCCTCCCCACCTCACTCATACGAAGACAAATTGGTTTGGAATTAAACGCAAGAGATTTGCCCGCTATCGAAGCAACAGAGCTGCTGCTATCTTAACGCGACCAGAAAATAAAAATAAAACCCTCTGGGGGACCACGTGGCATCCCAACGTGATAAATCGTTCCGTGACATCGCACCTCAGACTAAAGTCACGGCGACTTGGCGGCTTACAACAATAATAGTAACTCCTGTTGAGGGAGAGATGAGAATCGGCTAACGCAATTGCACCGGGCCCCTGGGTGGAAGCCTACCCCCCCCCCGCCCCAAGCCCCGGGCTATGAATAGAAGGGAGCGGTGGAGGGGGTGCGGGGATCGGTCAGGGCCCACGTCAATCACGCTACGCCACTGCTGATCAGTAGCATAAAACACCTCGAGGAAACTACATGGCCCCCCCCCCCCCCCACCGAGCTGATATATAAATCGGTGCCAATTAAGAGAGAGTTTTCATTTTAAGTGTTGTACGCAACTGGTCACAGATTCCCCGTGATCTCTGCATTCCCAGTGAACGTGTGGAACGTTTTGGGGCCTGGCCAACGTCGGTCCGATGGTTCCAAACCACGTGCCAACAAATACCCCCCCCCGCCCCCCACACACACACCACCACCACGCACACCTTTAAAGAAGACGACTCGTAGTGGCGAGATCAACAGCATTTGCGTTTAGCCGACGCCTCGTGTCGCACGATCCCCGACCCACGTGCGTGGCGCGTGACACCGGCTCGATCCACCGTGGCACACCGAGCGAGCGACTGCGACGTGGGACGCGTGCCGTCCATAAATATTACGGACTATCGCGACGCGCAAGCTTTGCCATACGAAGGCGTTCCCCCGTGCTTTGCTTCTCCCTTCCCCGTAGAGAGGACTCGGGGTCTACCAGGCCATGTCCGTTTATCAGACCGAGACCTCTCATCGTCACCGTGTTCAATAATTACTCAAATGAACCACAATACCTTGCTGATCTCGTCAAGGAGCATTAACCACCACGCGAATCCAAGTATTTCTCGCCGTCGAACAAGGACGGTCACCGCTTTTTCAGATGCGCTTCTGCGGCCGTCTGGAACGCTCTTCTTCCGACGTTAGGAAGCCACTGGAGCTATGCACTTTTAAATCTAGATGGATAACTCATTCCTTCAGAACTGCTTTTTGTGTTTGATTTGTTGTCCGCCACCCACCTCCGATTAGTACGGTTGGCTACGTACGGTGCGAAAGAAGTTCAAACATTCAAGCAACCACCAAACTGCTACAACTTCCACAGGCAGTAGAGGTGGTGGTAGAACACTTGTGTGTACGCTTCTCTCCTCGCGCTGATCAACGTTCAAAATTCGCTCCAAACGCGTCTCTCCTCTCAGTTTCAGTTTATTATTTCAGTTTATTTATGTTGGTACAGCTCTTGAATTTGAGTTCCCGTCAGCCGATTCGCGAGCAATTCCACCGACAGGCATGGCTCAATCGCCTCCGATGTACAGGACAAAGTGTGACGTTCCAATTTGAAAGAAGTAGCAGCCAGCGGCGGCAGCAGCCAGGTTTGCGACGAGGCCGTGGGAGTCTCAAATCTCCAGTCCTCGTGGCGGTACAACGGTCTGGTCTTTTCTGGTTTTTACAATGTTTTGCTAACACAGGTTTCAGTTCAATTGCAAGTTATGCGACCATTACCACCCTGGGCAGGGACGCTTATCGTGGGATTGTAGCGGTGAACACACCGGGGCGTGCGACGTAGAGGTCGTGGGTTCAATCTCCTGGAGCGGCATTTGAAGCAACGTGCACGTTTCTTAAATCCTCACCACCCCCCCTCTGTCCTACCCAGCAGTAATACTGAATGGGTACACCACGTGGATTACGCGCACTGCACGCGCCTGATTATTGGCAAACACGTTCCAACGTGGCGCAGAGAGCGCTGAGCAAGACGATCAGAGGAGCGACACTAACTCGGCAACTCCCTGCGTCACGTGGGACAGACACACACACACACACACGCGGGCACGTCCACACGACACAAGAGCCTCACACGTCCCGTCAATCGCATTGCCTTGAAAGGAAACTATATAAATAAGCGACGTTTTGGACAATGACCCTTCTCCCATAGCACATGGTTGAACTTCATTTGGACTGGTTCTTTCCACGCCACGTGGTTACCAATAATCAGGCGTGCGCAGTGCTTACCAACTTTATTTCAACATCAAGAGGAGAGCATTTGGTTGACGACACGAGTTCACCATGGCACCAAACAAAATTAGTCCTTAAAAACCGCTGCTTCTGAAAATCGCTTGGAGGACATCGCCAGCCACTTTGAATAAACATTTCATTTGTGACCATGAACATTGAAAGGGAACGACTCGGCGCAGTGTCGACTTAAACGCGTCGACTTTCCCGCTCGCGGACGGGGCTAACACGCCGACACGAGAATCCGGCAAGAACACAACAAGTCGATCTATTGCAAGTGTCGCACGGGCGGCGAGTTAAGCCCCGGACGCAACTCGTGCTGCGACGCTGAAGTTGACCACATCAAGTTGCTTCGCGAACTGTTGTGCGTGCATTTTAGGCCTTGTCAGCAGTCGGTACAAACACCACAAGGTGGGTCCAGTCGGCAAGGTTGGATGTGTGCATGTTGAACTTCTTTCGCACCGTACGCAGCCAACCGTGCTATATCGGAGGTGCCGCCGGGGAAAGGATAACAAAGCCGCAGTTCGTGTGGTGGGGTAAAGCGAGAGTACCGCCGAACGCTTCCAATACGCCTGGCCGGGGTAGAAGAAGAGAGGGGGTGAAAATACCGCCACACAAGCCCCTCTCCAGGAGGGACTTCGAGAGTCTCCCCCCAACCCCCCCCCCCCCTTCATCTCGTGGAGGCTCTTGCGCCAGCAGTGTAATTGCAGGGCTGCGCCTTAACCTTCAAGCAGGTCATTTTGTTCTGCACAGCTGACGCCGACGTCGCGGTAGGGAAATGAAACACACAAAGCGCGACCGATCACAACGCGTATAGGTAGCCAACACAAACACCCACATGATGCCCTATAGGTCAAGGATAAATGCTTAGAAAACGCAAGCCATTGCACAGTTTTGGCGATTCAGTTAAAAAAAAATTAAATAGTCCTAACACTGGTACGTGCGTGTGCGCCGAATGTGTTGCAGGTTATTCAGGATCGGAATAAATACGTCGTCATCATCATCGTAGTCATGGCTTATGCTAAAGTACTATGTAACACTGCCTAAAGAATACCAAGGGTTGCTGGACACGAGGCTCGTAATATAAATCCTGCAATGCTGCCAAAACTTGGCCTTCAAGAACTTCAGTAGCTAGCAACCAGCAACCCCGCCCCCATCTCCCCAGCGGTGACACTTTCCCACGTTTCCAAACGACTCCGTTCAATTGCAAATGACGCCATAACGCGCGCCGCACGCGCCTGATGATTGCTAAACATCGACCGCGTGACGTAGACAGCGCCGATTCCGATTGAAATATCGACCACGTGTGCACGCACGCGTGGGTTCCACTCGATGTAAGACACGGCGATTCACAATTAAATAAATAACCTCCAGTTGTATAGGTCTCCATAAAAGTCAAGTATAATTGAGTCTCCATGAGGGTTTTTTTTTGGGTTAGATCGCATGTGTTGTTAAACCCGCCACCACTCGACACAGCGAATTAGTAAGGTTTGTCACGTAACAAAACATGCAAATTCGTTACTAATACAGCACACGGGTGTGTTGGAGAGTAAACTCACAACGCGTACAATTTAGTCTATCTGTCATGTTGACTTTTCAGACGGATTTTCACTCGCAGCATTTATTTATGAAGATGCAAACTCTGCACCGGTATCGTCCTCCTGAAGCTCAATGTCAGAGTCAGACGTGTTGAACAAAATTACTGGTTTACCAAATGCTATTGGCTAGTAGCCTCTTCTCTACAGCCTTGGAAAGTCACCGGCACGAGAGACACCACGATGGGAAATAAGCCACGCTCTGTCACGTGGGACAACACAGGTACACACCAAAATGAAAGATGTTCACTCTCAATTCCAATCGGCGCTCTCCACCAACACACGTGCGACGTGTTTACCGAACATCGGGCCCGTGTAGTGTGTGACTTCATGTGTTTTTTTCTCAATTGCAACAGGGCAAGATTGGGAAGCCTGGGAAACAAGCCTGGCATGTGCAAGTGTTAATATGGCACGCGATTAACTTGGCCTCGAATCCACTTCATAAATAAGTTAGATCACATTCCATTTCATATACAAAGTACAAAACTACAAAACGAAGACGGACACCACCATTCACTGACCACACGAGACCACGCAGGCTGGCGTTTGTGGGAACATATTAAGCCCTCGCGAAATCATCCGACCGAACAAAACATTAGCAAAATACTCTAGCATAAAGACGTGGGATTGTGTACGGATGGAGCGCAAATGCCACGTTACTTTTGAATTCCAGCGCTGGTCACATCACCCAAAAAATATACAAAGCATGCTCTGGACACAACACTGTTAATAAACGCGTTAGAACTGTGTTTAAAAATAACAATACACTGAATAATTGGATCAACCACTTAACCTAGTTATACATCTGAGTCGTTTTTGACTGGACTTGCTTAATATTTACTTATGCGACAAAGCAAACATTAGGATCACCTAGGGTGGTGTGTGATGAAGAGGATCGGAGTGGCACAGATTTTAGTTTAGACGACCCGAAAAAATGGAAACATAACAACCCTGCTCCTTTGCAAACGTGATCACATAAAAGTGTTAATAATTTACACCAACAAAGCTTTATCCTTATGTGGATTAACTTTTTTTGTACATGCTTGATGACGCTTTAAAACGTTTGTGCAGGGACAGCCCCAGGGACACATCGCATGGGTACCGATATCTACAAGATAAGAGCTTGATGGCTCTTGCAGAAGATTGGTAGACATGCAAATTCAAACTGTGATTGGATTTGCCGATGGTCAACATCCCCGGGTTCTGTACGAAGCGACAAATAACACACGCAAGTATTTATTGTCCAGCACGTGCATTCGAAAACGTTAAAAGCTTGAAGTTCAGCTTGGTTAAAGAAACACGACGATCGATCGTATGTACATTGCCACGTCGCACCGTAATGTTAAGAATAGTTTTTGCTTGAAGCGAGCACTTCATAGCGACGCCACATACGCACGTATTTACCTCCCCCCCCCCTGCATGTTTGTTTTGTGTGTGCATCACAATTGGACAAACTGTTAAAATCATCCCCAGCTGTCAAGTCTACACGTCACTATATATACTGATAAGAGACCAGTTTGTGTGAAAAAAAAACTCTTTACGAATGAATAAAAGTACAATAAATAAGAATGCTATTTTATGGTTTCTGTTGCCTCGAGTGGTAGGGTGACACAATAATGGGAAGGAGTTAGTAAGTTACCAGAAGCACTCGACAGAAGATGAACGCAGGATGGCAGCGATTCGCAGGTTCACGACGGTAAACTATTTCTACAGAGGTCGCATAAATTCCCGTATTGTTGTGATTGTTCACCCGAAATGTTTACGTTTCTGCAAATCAATTATCGCCCATTATGCTCATTGTTTTTCCCCAACAAGGAAAAGAAACGTAGCGCGGTTAGAATCATTGCCGCTAAGCCTCGGCGAGTCTCAACATTCGTTTTCTGAACGATCCTGCGCGCTGGAATTATTTGGACAGCTCCATCAAAGAGCGCTCTCTGCTTCACGCGGGAAACGAATCGGGGGGAAACACAACGTGTACGATGGCGGCGGGGCGACACTCGGCGCAGCGATCTCTTCTTGGCCATAACCTCCCAGCCCCCATGCCTACAACACCTGGCAAGCCCCAGTGATCACCCATCAATGTGCTAATCAGGCTCAGCCCTGCTTATCTTCCGAGACCCCAATGAGACCGGGCACACTCCTCATTGTTATTTGGTTGCAGTAAATACATTTAAGCCACTGTAACAATGCACATTTAAATCGAATTTCTTCAGAACTGCTTTTTGTGTTCAGTATGTTGACCCTGCCCTCCACCCCCCCCCCCCCCACACCTTCGAATTATCACGGTTGGCTACACGTACGGTGCAAAAGAAGTCCAACGCACACACACACACGCGAATGCTACGAGGCGCGATGGAACGTTAAAGCGTGGCTCTGCGATCGTGCGAGTACCCTGGTGCGTCCCTTTCAAGGGGCACCCCCCACCTCTCGTCCAGCCGACGGGACATTAAGCCTCTCACCGCCGGGGTCTTCACACCCCCTTGCAAAATTTTTACGCGCAAAACCGCCCCACCCCCTCCCCCCCCACAACGAGTCAGGTTCTAGCCACTGCTGGATGGGCCCCGCATCCCCACGCTGCGAATCGCGTTGCCCGCGTGCGGATTTTCCCTCGCAGCGAATAAATAATTAAACAGACCCAACCTTCTCTCTTAGGGATATTTGTTTCTAATTCGTTCGACTTCACAACCCCCCCCCCCCCCACTGCCACCAAGAATAAAAACCCTCGATAAATTCCTTTCAAAGATTCGGCTCGGCGGGAGGGGGGGGGGACAAAGTTAATGCAGAGGTCTGCATGAGGCTGGAGCTTCTGCCCCCGAGACTAAACTTATCCTGGCAAAGACCCAACTTAACAGAGCGTGGGCTTAAACAAAAAAAATTACGTGCACCATTAGCCGCTGCAGATATGCGGCCGTGGCAGCACACGCGCCTGCGTTTGGCAGCCAACTAAAGGAATGGTAATAACTATAATAACACAACGCCCAATGCACTATACAGAAGTTGAATCGTTGCCGCCTTCATTCGATAAGTGAGAGTGCGCAATAAGCGGCGATATCATGAGCAAATTGGGCGAGTGCGGCTGCATTGGGGATAGGTGCGTCATTGGCACGTACACGTTAACCTCGAAATCCCGGCAAGCAGCGCAGCACCCACGTTACACACGTCCAGAGAACCCCTTGCGGTAATACTGAAAAACGTTGACGCACGCCAGCTTAAAATATCGTTCGCATTATTCCACCTAGTCTATGCTCTCGATGAATAAGTGCAGGTACAAAAACGAGGAAAGTTATTCTCTAAAAGGTAAAAATCAACCTTCGAGACCAAAGAAGTCTGCCGAGGTTCATGTTTCTCGTCATCAGCTGTGCGAACACAGCTCACACGGAGCAGTTTCATGCCCTTGGAAATCATCAGCAGGCCGAAGTCAGGTTCCTAACTGCCAGAAAATACGTCTGGTTGTGAAAAGACAAAGCCCCTTATTATTGTTGTTCCCTTTGAGTAAAGCAACAAACACTTTTTTTATGTTCTGAGTAAAAACGATTCCACAATAGTGGGAACGTTGCAACAATTTTCTTTGGTCCCCATGCTCAAGTCAGCAGCTGCTTAAAAGGATCACGCAAATGCGCAACTCTCGCTGTGCGGGCGTCTAACAATCCACCCCTCCACCCAGATATTCCGATATTCGCGATTCAAGATTGCGATTCCAGAATCAATTCTATATTTTGTTTCTGCCCTTAGCGTTTTAATGCAATTGCCTTTGGCTGGCGTCTTCTCCGTACACTCTCCATTTTATCAACCAATAGCCGAAAATCAACCTTTGCTCCGGGGGAGGTCGCTCATTCCCCTCTGCTGCTCCCATTGTCTGGAAATCCCTTCCCCCCCCCCAGCCCCGGTTATTTGTGCTGTTGACTACCAGCGCATATTCAAGTCTAGGCCTCAAGACTTTAATAATAAAACAAATCTCTGCTCATCACCGACTGCCTCAATCATAATGATAAAAAAATATCCACCGTTTCTGTGAAGCGTGCCGAAATGTGATCGAATTTGGGATAATTTCTAATTCTATTGCATTCAATCTCGGTAGAATAAGCGCCCGAGCAACTCGGTGGAAGTCGACTGGGGTCTTCGAGAAGAAGCCTTGGTTGTTGAAGTGGAGAGCACTTGGTGGAGAGTAGAGTGAGATGACAGAGGTAGGAGGTTGGGTGTCTGGAGGAAGGGAGCATTGAGATTGGAGAGGAGAGTCCGGGCAGGGAGTGAGCCCACGGAGAAGCTCGAAGGGGGCGACGGTGCGATCTTGAAACCGATTCAGGATTGTATTGAGATCCAGCGGAGGGACCCAGATCACTGGGGGCGACACGGCCTCGATATAAATATATATAAAAAATCCAATTGACAAATCGACGGATCGTCGCACGCCCACTAGCGCCACGGTCCCCACGGGGGACGGGGCAGGCCGGAGGGGGACACCGCGTGTCCCGTCGCGGCACGCTCACAGCCCGGAGATCCGCTCGCGGATGCTGCTCAGCTCGGCCGGCTCGTCAGCCCTTCGTCGGCCCTCGTTAGCGCCGCGGCCGTCTTCCTCCTCCTCCTCCTCCTCCACCCGCTCCCCGTCGCTGCCCAGGTCGACGCGGCGGCGCAGGTGCGTGGGGTAGGCGAGGCCGCACTCGGCCGCGTGGCGCTCCCAGCGCGCGTCGTCGCTCTCGTGCGTCACGTAGCGCTCCGAGCGGCGCACCTCGAGCTCGCGCAGGTCCAGCCACGTCTGGTAGTCCTGCTCGCTCGCTCGCGTGCGCGCAATGCAGGTCAGCCGCAGGGAGCCCCTCGCACGGACTGCTCGAGTGAGAGCGCCGTTTTATTAAGGTCGTCCAGAACAGACCGTGCAACGTAGAACGACCACAATATACGAAGGAGACATCACAGCGATACACTACTCCCCCTCTGCTCCTGACTCCACTGTCTCGCTTGACCACCTGAATGTGAAATTGTAGTTGTTGCTCTGCGTCTACATCAGCCATACGAAAGAGGAACATTAAGGTAAGATGTTTCCCCCCAATGTTATGCCCGGTTGCGCTATCGGCGTTTCGTCACGAGGCAGAGAGTCCATTGGGTTCTCTCGTAGAACGGTGCAGGCATTGTGTTCAGGGATAGAACACGGAAGAGGGGATATCAGAGCTACGTCTGAATACACTTAAAGTCACCTCTGGCGCACACAGTAGGGGGCAGCACTTCCACACCCCACCCTGCTACAGAGAGTAATGACTGTCGGGCAGTTTAAATCATCAGAATTAGTGAGACGGTCGACCAAGCCCACTGAGCAATGAGGAAGGGCCATTGCCTGAAACGTCACTTATTATACATGCGTTTCATTTTTAAGGCCATGTTATTGACGAATCTGTTGAAGTTCATGCTTGGGTAAATTAATCAACAAAAGCATTGCTCACCTGCAGCCAGGGGTGGCTGAGTGTCTTGTCCACACTGTAGCGTTTCCTCATCTTCACCTGGAGGAGGTTGTTGATGAGGTCGATGGCTGGAGGGGAGAAGCACGCCAGGGAGGAATGCATCAGACACACGGGGCAACGCACAAAGACAACTTAAGCACGTGTCACTACACTAATGCGGAGTTGTAACAAAGCCAATTCCATCAGATTCAAATCGATGCATCCAATTAAACCACCTGCAAGCAAGTGTTACCCAACACTGCAAATCCCGAAGTGTAGTTTGCACTTGGACTAAATCACCCCGAATGTGCCCAATCTCAGGAGCTAAGCAGGTTCCAACCTGGCTAGTACTTGCATGGAAGGCTGCACATAAGACAGAATTGGATATAACAAGTGAGAAATAAACAGAAAAACATTTTTGAAATTTGCCAGTTCAGTGAGAACAAATGAGACACTACAAACAAGGCAATCAAATAGTGAATCCATATCATGACAATGAATTGAATCATCTCAAGTATGAATGATAATTCTATACTTAATGATTACTCAAATAATCATCAGCCACTGCTGGATGAAGGCCTCCTCCAAGCTGATGCCATCTCTCATGGCCCCCCTCAACATCGTTATGGTTATAGTGTCACCCGAACGCTGCCCGATCTGGCTGGGCCATGTACACTGCCGCATGGCATCGGAGTGAAGGTTACAGCGGGGCAACGTTGGGGGCACGTTGGGGGAAACGTTGGGGTAACGTTGGGGTAACGTTGGAGCAACATTGGGGCAACGTAGGGAGAAATGTTGGGGCAACGGTGGGGGAAACGTTGGGGCAACGATGGTGCAACGTTGGGGAAACGTTGGGAAAACGGTTCCAACCGCGTTGACCCAACGTTGCATGCTTACTGGTTACTGGTGTCAGGTGGGAAGAGCTCCCTACTGATGGCACAACACCACGGAAAGTATAGGCACTGGGTTGCCTGACCTCTCAGTGACATGGGAAGGCCCAAATCCAGGTGCCCCCCCCCCACCGTGGAGGAGCCACACGCCAACTCAATGCCACCGGTGCTCGGAGTTCCCCGTCGCCCGCGCGATCCCCGATGGCACCCACCGTCCTGTGTGATCTCCTTCCAGGGGTTGGGCGGGTACATGAAGGCGGCGTTCTGGATCTGCTCGTTGATGTCCTCGTCCTCGTTGAAGGGGAAGGTGCCGCTGAGGCTCACGTAGACGATGACGCCCACCGACCACATGTCGAGCGAGCGGTTGTAGCCCTGCTTGCTTCGGATCACCTCGGGCGCCAGGTAGGCCGGCGTGCCCACCACCGAGCGGCGGAACGACTTCTCGCCGATGATGCGCGCAAAGCCGAAGTCGCACAGCTTCACCTGCGGCGGACGCACAAGCGCATGCGTGTACGTGTGCGTGCGTACGTTATGTGTGTGTGCATATGTATGTGTGTATGAGGAGCTGTGTCGTAGCGGTTAGCGCGCTGTGCTATGAGCCCGGCGACCCGCGTTCGATTTCTGCTTGTGGTCGACACTGGTGATGATTTTCTGAACTGGTCCTGGGCCTTCCCTAGGTCGACTGAGCCTCAAATTAGTAAGTTTAACATGTAGGCTTTCGCGACCAACATTAATAATAAAGGCGTTTGGGTTAGATGGCGTAAGTATAAATGTGCCGTAACCCTCCACCACCCGACACAGCCAATTAGAAAGGGATTTGTCACGTAAACAAAACGTGCCAATTAGTTACTTCTTCAGCCCACCGTCGTGTTGGAGAGTAAGTCCACAACATTTACAACAACAACGTTTCGCTGGTAATAACATCCAGAATCATTGGGCGATTTGCCAGAATAGTGAAGCGATCTACCTGCTTCCAGCCTTCCTAATATTGGAAGGAAAAGCGTTTCAGACGGCCACAGAAGTGCATCTGAAAGTGCGAGATGCAGTGACCGCTGCTTCGAGGGTAACCAGAGGTACACGTGCGTGAGACATGACGCTCACAACAACGAGCGGAGCGCCGGTCGGCTAAAACACAGCAAGTTGGCACAGTAGGGGGGGGGGGGCACAGCCGGTGCATCTGCCAGTCATCTCGGTCAGTAAACCGATGGCACCTGGGTCTGTCCCCCGTGACCTCCTGCCAGCGGGCATTCGACACTTCACGTGGCCTTACAATCCTCATAGCCTGGCACAAGCGGCGTGGTGACGTCACCGCCACTTAGTGGTGAATGGCGGCAGTTGTTGTTGTCGTGAGGTACGACAAACCGTGGCTCGGCACGGTTGTAGGGGGCCGAGTCCTTCTTGCTGAAGAAGGCTCTGCCACCCCCCCCCCCCCCAGCTTATGAATTAATTTAGTCAAGTCAAAAACCATCAGCATAATACTTAACGCCAGTGGCGATTTCTCCAGGGGCTTTCCCTCAAATACAGAGTGGCGCGAGAGCCAGCGCTGAATGCACGGCAGGGGAAAGCAGGCTTCGTTACTCACGCTCTTTACCCGTTAGCACTTTTTAGAGTTTGTTCAACATCGACTGTGTCAGACCGTCCCCTGAGTAGCTGTATACCCCCCCCACTTTACACTAAACTACTACACAGGGGCCGTTCTGTGGTGGCTCAGAGTTCAGAGCGCCGAACGGACACTTTGAATCTGTGTTTCGGTCGTCTAAAACCCATATTTGGAGATAGGTGTAGACGCGCTTGATAAATCTGTGTACCCAAGCTCAATGAAACTCGCTCAGAGAGCACCCAGGGACTATGTTCAAGTGACAGTTCGGGAGGCCCAGTGCTTACTTGCAATGGTGCGAGTTGGCAAATCTGCTGCATTGACCTGTTCAAAACAATATTGATCGCGATGCTCATTATATGACATGGCTGGCCTGGCTGGCCTGGCTGGCCTGGCTGGCCTGGCTGGCCTGAGCCCCCCCCCCCCCCCCCCCCCCCCCCCCGCTACTGCCATCCTGAATTCGTGATTATAACAATCGGCTTTTGTTTTCAATCGTGGAGAGTTCATGATCTCAATCCAATTACTAATAATGCCTGCATAAACATTACTCTGTGGTGCTAAGTTTGGTTTTGCAATTAATTTGGCTATATTCAAGCTTTGAAAATGTAATATATCCAACATTACTTTGGCGGGAAGTGTGAAAAAGTTATCTCCATTTTAATTGTTACTGAATCAGGCACTTGGCTGCAAAACCTGCGACATCTCATTTACTTCTGTTAATCCAAAAAATGTTTGTTTGCAGATAATCCGATATTCTTTTACGAAAATATTTTCTGATTTCTCAGCTTAATCCTGAAATCGGGAACATCCATAATCTGTGTGTATTTTTAATTTGATGCAAGTGAATCCCAGCCGTGGTCAGTAGTTTGTTGCCAATCTAAAAATAAATGGGGCAATTGTAAATGCAGTTCATTGACACACCCAGGGACTTCGATCCCATTCTCTTTAACCCTTCTACAATTGTAATTCATGCCACACCCCAATGCTGTTTGCAGGTAAATATGGGCGACAGGGTGGCGCAGTGGTAACACTTCTGCCTCACAGCAAAGAAGGGCAACCTTTCTGTTGTTTGGAGTTTGCATGTTCTCACCCTGCTCTGCACGGGTTTCCCTCTGGACTCTGATTTCTTGCCGTAGCTCAGGAGTCGGCAACCTGCGGCTCCGAAGCCGCATGTGGTTCTTCAAGGACTGCTTCCTGGCGTTGTTCATCAAGGACCGCCGTCTTGAATTCACGTTGCATTGCAGATCTTGAATTATCTAGTTATTTTTTTTATCGATTGAGAAAAAAAAGTCTCTTCGTGTTATTTTGCTTGCTGACCCCTGACCTAACCTTATAAGCTCACACGACGTAACCGGTATTGGCCCGACACCCCAATGCTGAAACATGACCTGAAAATGACTATTGAGATCACACACATTGCAAAATCGCCCACCCTACTGCAAGACACTTGGCCAAACCCTTCCGAAAAAAAAGTCCCGAGGACTCAGTGAGGGCCTTCCTGGATAAACAAGCGTAATATTACATGTATAGAGCGGTGTTACAACCAGTCCGTGTCCGTGAGCACGGCTGCAGTCGTGTGGTGAGTGCAGGGGCATCTGCTTACTTGTGGAAATGGATCTGCGGATGCCAAGAGCACATTCTCTGGCTTCAGGTCGCAGTGCACAATGTTTTTGAAATGCAGATGCCGCAGTGCCACCAAAATCTGAAATGGACAAAAAAGGGTGCAATGGTTTAGATGGGAAAACAGCAGAGATAAGTTGACCTCGATTCGGTGTTTAAACCGTTCGAAACAATAGCGGTGAACTCTGTTTTGATGGCAAATTAGCCGTCTGCTTTTACGAACATGAGCGTTTGTATCGGCTCTATATAAGCGAGTGGTGGCACGGTGGTTAGGGCACCACGCTATTACCGGAGTGACCTGCGTTCGATTCCCGGCCACAGCTAAGATCAAGCGACGAGTAGATATCTGAACCGCTGCCGGGTGTCTCGCTGCACTTCACCAACCTGCACTGACCACCGTGGTGAATCATGGTTCTACAAAATCCCCCTTCACTCACACAGCACCAGACTGAAAAAGGGCCATGAGTTTATATACGCTCTGGAGAGTGCGCAAGGATTCAGCATTTCCATTTGTTGGGCTTCTAAAATTCCCCAGGAACTCAAAGCACCTCACATATCGCATCTCATCTCGGATCAGTCCAGTGTCCAGCTGTAGGTTCCGTTTTTGGCCTAGGGGACCACCCCCTGATGACAGCTGTCCCTGTGCGGCACAAGGTGATGAAGCACCACCATGCAAGTGGGCATTCCTCTGTCGGTAAGGATCGATGTTGTTAAAAACCTATTACTATATCGATGTTGTTCTCGATGATTCCAATTTACCAATTAGCTAACGCCGGCACACGACGACCAACTCTTTTTCAAAACACTGCCGCGGTTTGTTTAACGTCCGCTGCGAATCGGACGGCGCACACGTTCTGTTAACACCGCCCCCCCCTCCCCCGCCTCGCAGCATTAACCAGGGCGGCCGGGCAGGGGGGTGGGCGGGGAACTCCTCTGCGGCGTTGCGCTGCTCCACAAAGGAACACCGACCCCCACGCCACCCCCCCCCCCCCCCGACGGCTGGCGAGGGAGGACGCGCCGACCGCGGCGACTCGCCTGCGTCACGAGGAACTTGGTGTTGCGTTCGGGGAGCCGACCCTTCTCGCTCGAGAGGATCATCTCGAGCATGTCGCCGTGCAGCTTCTCCATGACCACGAAGACGCGCTCGGGCGTCTCGAACATGCTCTGCAGGTTCACCACGCCCGGGTGGTGTAGGCTCTGCGGGGGCGGCGGGGGGGGCGAAGAGGGAGCGGGGTAACGAATAGACGCAACCGCTCAGCCACAACACCTCGGCCACACCGCGAACCGCACAGGGAGACACGAAAAAAAAAAACAAGTTCACGTGCATCAGCATGTTTACTTCCCGAGCTGTACAGCTTCTTTCTGCAGGGGGACTCGGCCAGCGAACACTGCCTCAACTCCCATCGCTACCCCTATCACTACCCCAACCACTGCCTCTATCAACCCCAACCCCTATCACGACCCCTTTCACTACCCCCTACCTCAATCCCTTCATAACCATTGTTGCCTGCTATCCTACCACCACCACAACTACACAGCCACTTTTAATGACCCCACTCTCTATTTTAACCACTATCCTCTTACGTACAATGTTATAATCATTTTAAAGCGCCTTGGACTAAGGCGCTTTAATATGATCCCAAAAAAAATAGTTGACAATTTTAACCTTCATTTTTCTGAAGCTGGTAATCTTTTTGATAATGTATTGGGAGTCACCCCTGCTCATGCAAATTCCTACACCCCTGTCCAAACATTAAACAAATTTAGTTTCCAGCCAATCCACGAAAGAAATGTTTTGAAACAACTGTCCTACCTCAAAGGGTCCTCCTCTACCGGAGCAGATAGTTTTCCCGTCTTTGCTCTACTAACTGTTGGTCACCTAATATACAAACCTATAGCTCATATTTTCAACCTGTCCATCAAAGAAGCATCAGTTCCTCTAGAATGGAAACATTCCTATGTCTGTCCACTTCACAAAGGGGGCCCTAAAGATGTTCCCAATAACTACCGACCTATCTCAATTTTGTCCCAATTGATGAAAATTTTTGAAAAATTATTGAACTACCAAATTAGCAGTTTCCTGTCCATCAACAATCTACTACATCTAAAACAATCTGGGTTCCGAAAAACACACATCTGCTGCATTAGACTCTCTGAATCAAATTTACAGTAGCCTTGATAATAAGCAGTACTGTGCCTGTCTTTTTCTTGACCTGTCCAAAGCTTTTGATACAGTAGACCACAACACCCTGCTTAGTAAACTAAGTTGCCTCGGTTTTTCCGAAAACAAAGTAGAATGGTTAAAACATTACCTCTTTTCTCGCACCCAAACTGTATTCACAGATGGTTGGAGGTCAAACAGTGTTAAGATAACAAAAGGGGTTCCACAGGGTTCCATCCTCGGCCCCCTCTTGTTCTCTCTTTATGTCAATGACTTGGGCACTGAACTGGATCATTCCAGGGTAAATCTTTTTGCAGATGACACGATACTGATTACTGCTGGCCGCTCTCCGGATGACGTGATTGCTAAGCTCCAGCGTGATTTCAACAAACTACATCAGCTAGTTGCTCTTAAACTAGTCCTGAATGCCTCCAAAACCAAGGTGCTATGCTTCTCACCGGGACTAAAGCAGGAAGTTATTTTTCCCCAATTACATTCCTTAAATAACGATCAAATAGAGCAAGTCAAGATCTATAAGTTTCTTGGGGTCATCCTGGATTCAAAACTGAATTTTGAAGATCACATTGATTATATTGGTAAAAAGACAAAAAATAAAATATGTTTTCTGCATCGACAGAAGCACTGCTTCCCCTAATGTTCCGTTTGGAATTGATAAAAGCTACTATACTGCCTCTACTTGACTACTGTGACATCGTGTATAAATCAGCCCCAAGTACTGTACTGAAGAAGCTTGATTCCATCTATCACTCGGCCTTAAGATTTGCATTGAACTGCCCATATGGGACTCACCACTGTGATCTCTACATTGGGTCAAACTTAACATCTCTTAATGTTCGACGGCTTGTGCACCAGATCTTATTTATTAACGATGTACTTAAAAAAAAATCTGCAGACTACCTACTGGATCTCCTCTCTGTTTCAAAGAACAAATTTGACCTCGGGTCTTCGCTCATTTACCAGCTTCACATTCCCTATTACCGTACAAAAACCGGAGGAAGGGCCTTTGCTATTGATGCCCCCAGGGTTTGGAATGCTTTGCCAATAAACTGCAACTTGAATCACTACCTATGAGATCTTCACTCAAAACTGCTCTAGAGGAGCTATACACCCCCTAGCTGCCACTGCTATTCAGTGGCCTAAAATAAAATAAAATGTTTCGCTCCGGCTGACCGCTGCAAAGTATTATCTGTAATTTGATTTAGTGTGCTTATCTTAAAGGTGCATTGAAAAATGTGATACTCCGACTGATGCTCCTGTTTTTCTTCTTTGGTTCTTTCGGTAAAGTCACGTAGAATGAGAATAAAATAATTAATTGATAAAATAAAATAACACAATAATATTCTCACGACGTTTCGGCCACAACACAAGCGGCCTTCATCAGGTGAAGGGGCGAGACTGTCTGGTAGGACAGCGCTGGAGTGAAAGAGCCACGTTCAGATCACGGCCTTTAAGCCTCAAATTTCAGCACCACGGATAGCTACGGGCCCCGTTCAGACGGACGAGTCCGTCCATGGTCGGAACAGAGGGGGAGAGAGACAGCTGCGAGGCCCTAGTATACTCCATGTTGTAAAACTATACCATTAACCGTGGTGTGAGAGGTATTAAGAGGCAATGCTGGCGAAAGAGCTGCGGTCTGAAGGTCATCGTAAAAATACAATTAATTAAGAACAGAAATGATTTAAAACATCTTTCCAGTGGTTACTAAGCCTGAATCCATCTTCTCGGTTGACATTGTCTCTGTGCTTGTATATGTGAATGGCCTCATGAACGAATCTCTCATGGTAGCTGGTTGGTTTGCAAAGAACCTCCGTCTTGGAGAAGTCAATGTCATGCGAGCCCTCTGAATTATAACAGTGATCTGCCACGGCAGAGGAGTTCGTCCTACCGTGTTTCAAGTCTGCTTTGTGTTCGCGGATGCGGTCCGAGATATGTCTTTTGGTTTCTCCAATGTAGCTACTACCACAGAGGCACTTTAGTTTGTAAACGCCCGGGTACTGTATGTCTGGAACAGCATCTTTTACAGATGGAACTAAATCACGGATTTTATGTACTGTGTTGAATCGGACCTGGATCTTGTGTTTGTTCAGGATTTTGGAGATCGTTTTAGTGACCCCTGCAATGTAGAGTGGCTCATGCAGCCAGCTATGGCTCTAGGATTTGGTGTTACATGTTATTTATGTAGTTTATTGTTAAAAATTCGGTCACAGTCCCTATGATCACTGTTACATTGCATTTATGGCTTTTATTTTGGTGATTTCGAAAAGTTTTTTGGTTTGGCCATGTTTTTGTTTATTGTAGTACGGAGTTAGACTGATGGCCTTAATCTTAGTTGTCTTGTGGTTGTTGTTGTTTGACTTGCATCCCACTGGGATTTTTGCACACAGCGTTGGTGTACGGTGCTATTTCAGGAATATTTTGATGTTTTTTTCCTGGATTTTCTGTTTGCACAGTCACATAATCACTTTAAGATGTTTTCTTGTTCATGTTTTTGTTTTTTGTTTGTTGCGGTTGCACCCGATTCAAGATCCGAATGGCTCACAGGGCTATATCAAATAAATATAACTAAATGGAACTCTATAAATGTATATAAGATCAGAATAAATGATTGTTTTTATTTGCCAAATCATTGTAGGCCCCTATTTAAATAGCAATTTCGGGAACTGCTCTCCATCCCCTCTGGCGTGCATCTCCATCTACCTCTGTAAGTAAACAAATTTAGAAATGCGCAATTTTTATAACCCAGTTTATCACAAGCGTGCAATATTCGTACATTGTAAGCTCCAATTAAACAGTTCTATCTTGCATGTTCTACTGAACTGGATAAATATCTGGGAAGAGTCTCGAACATCACGCAGCGGAAGCGAGTTCCAGGCCGATGGACCACTGAGTAGGTGGGTGGGTGAGTAGGTGAGTGGGTGAGTAGGTGAGTGGGTGAGTAGGTGGGTGGGTGAGTAGGTGAGTGGGTGAGTAGGTGAGTGGGTGAGTAGATGAGTGGGTGAGTAGGTGGGTGGGTGAGTAGGTGAGTGGGTGAGTAGGTGAGTGGGTGAGTAGGTGGGTGGGTGAGTAGGTGGGTGGGTGAGTAGGTGAGTGGGTGAGTAGATGAGTGGGTGAGTAGGTGGGTGGGTGGGTGAGTAGGTGAGTGGGTGAGTAGGTGAGTGGGTGAGTAGGTGGGTGGGTGAGTAGGTGGGTGGGTGAGTAGGTGAGTAGGTGAGTGGGTGAGTAGGTGGGTGGGTGAGTAGATGGGTGGGTGAGTAGATGAGTGGGTGAGTAGGTGAGTGGTTGGGATCGTGAGTTCCTGGCCAATGGACTGCTGAGTAGGTGAGTGGGTGAGTAGGTGGGATGGTAAGTAGATGAGTGGGTGGGATGGTGAGTTCCAGGCCACATGATCGCTGGGTAAGTGAGTGGGTGAGCAGATGAGTGGGTATGATGGCGAGTTCCAGGCCAATGGATCGCTGACCACAAGGCTGCAGGGTCCAAACCCTGCTGTCAGAGCAATCAGCGTCAACATGAGCTGCCGCATGTAGATGGTGACGATTGCCAATGGAGTGCACCGGCACACACCACATGTCCATCAGATCGCGTGACGGAGACTGGTGTAAACACTCGTGTGCGTATACGAATGTGCACAGCTTGCAGTCAATCCGTTGCGCAGGTCGTCACGAACGGTCGGTGCGATGTGGTCGTCTGTGCTCGCGGCAAACCCACGCCGGCGGCGTGCGTGCCGGCCGGTACCTGCAGGATGGCGACCTCGTTGCGCAGCTGGCTCTCCTGCTTGGTTGGAAAGCGCAGTTTGTCGATCACCTTGATGGCCACATCGCTGCCCGTCTTGCGGTGCTTTCCTGCAGTGCCGCCGCAAGCAAGGAGCGCCCGATGGCGGCGAATGTTTTAATGCAACGCCAAAAGACAAACATTTCCCGTATGGCCTTCAAAAGGCCGTTTGAGGCCAAGTGGTGTGAGCGAGTATCAGAATCTGTATTTATACTGGAGGAATCCGATGAGCTATGAAGCTCTTTTTCACAGATGTTCGGTACGGGCGGGTCAGCAAGTTACGACGCCTGTGCAGGCCAGCAGGGCACACAAAGGGGTGGTCAATAGCGCGACTCGGTTGAACAACCAAATCGATTTACACATTTGCCCACGTGACAAATTTATTTCATCAGCTTTGTCAGGTGGCAGTAGCGTTATAGCTAAAATTGGCATTGATATCTCCATGATTTGACCCAAACATGAGTAATTATGAATCACACACACACACATTGTTTTAATGATAAATGTCGTGATGCGCTTGCAAACATTTTAGGGCAAGTGTCGCTGGCAATGGTCACTGGAAACAGTTGCTGCATCTTCTTTCTTTCGTATGGTTGATGTAGATTCAGAGCAACAACTACAATATCACATTCAGGTGGTCATGCCAGATAACCGCATCGGGAGTAGCGGAGTGTATCGCTGTGATGTCTCCTTCGTATTTGTGGATCGGGGCATTGCGTCGTTCTATGTTGTTGTACAGTCTGTTCTGGATGACCACAGTCGTACACTGGAGAGTTTTTAAGGTTCCATTTGTGCATTAGCACCTGGCTTGGTTTGTGTGGCTCATTAGTTGCCGCATCATTTTCCATTACACCTGAGAGTGTTCACTCCCGGAAGGGCCTTGCGCGGTTGAAGGAGATATATTGCCCGCTTGATTTTTTTGTTACTTTTGCTCTCCACAACGATGCTAATTGATTATGGCGTGTTGCGTACGACAACAACAACAAACATGAAAATTTTCATTGCTGCTCCCCCGAGTAGGCAACTGCAATGGCTGCTTCCAGTCACACAAGAGGCAACGTGGACTACCTCTACCTGACGTTGTGGACATGGCAGGCCCAGATTTATCCATCAAATGTACTTTTCAATAAACCGTGTTTTTATTTGCTAGTCATGATGCTGACACTTTATGCCATTTCTAAGCTCCCTCTCCAGTTGCCATGTCCTTTCTCAAAGGATTTTGGCAATCAAGGCCTTCCTTCCATTTAGCCTTGTCCATGATATTCCTCAAGAACAGTCGCAATAGATACTCCCAGTTGCACCCAATTGTTCAAACTGCACATGTTTGTATGATGTACGTAGCCAAGTGTGCTAACACTGGTCTACAATTTTTTAGACGTCGTCTGCTTCAGAGATGGAATGTGCTGTTTATTATGGATCTTGATGTGCCGAATTCAAATATGACAATTAAAACAACTGATTGGCTACTGTTCCCAAGATATTTACGTTTTTACATTTTATGTCTATGTATAGTGTAGTTAGAGAAGTTTTACTCATCAATTGTAAACCTAGGTCTTTTCATGTATTTATAGTTGCTTTACGTGATGAGATGTCACCTGTCCTGGTCATGTAACACTTTAAAACTCAGCAAAAGGGTTGTATAAATAAAATGTATTATGAAACAAAATTATGTCTATATAATTACATAGTTTAGTTTGTTTTCCTTAACCCGCATTATAATCGAAGGTGCGGGTTAAGTAAAACAAACCAAACACAAAATTCAGTTTTAAAGAAATGAATTTTCAATCTAGATTAGCACCTTCTTCACATGTACTTTCCCTGGCTGCGTCTTGTTGTACCTATGAGATTCCCAGCCAACACCACATTTATATTCAGCCTCTTAGTTTCTTATTACATGTCCAAGAAATCCAACTGACCAATCATAACTTTCTCATTGTGCACCTGCTATCCGTAATGCATTTACGTTACTCATCTTGTCTGGCCATTCACTGTTTAACAGCCTTCATTAAAAAAAAACAAATTATCTTGCTTCTAGTTTGCGATGTAGGATCCCTGTACTTTTCCACCTTTCACATCCATAGAGGAAAACAGACCTGCACATGTCACATTACAGTATTCCAATTCCTGCTGTCATTCAGAATGTCTAACTCTTCAATACAGATCGAATATTCTGAAACAGCACAGCTACTCATCATAAATGCACTGCTTGTGTAACTGCCGGTGACAATTTGTCACATGGCCTTTACGCAGCTCCTCTGCCATCATTTGCAGGGAGTTTGGCTGCTCGGTAACCACCACCACCACCAAAACGTGGTTTTCTTTGCACATTTGTAGGCCCTGCAACTCGCTTGGCAAACGGCTCCCCTGAGCATTTCCTGGGACTTGCGATGCTGCCCAGGCTGCCCCTGGGGCTCATCGTCGTTTTCATCATCATCATCGTTGTTGTTGTTGGTGCTGTGCCCCGGTTGCTCTCTCTCACTGCTCTCTCTGTTTCCCTGCCATGGCCTCTCCCCACTCACCCCCTCCATTAGACCTGCATAAATGTTTTGTTCTTTTGTAAATTGTCCCAAAAATGTTTGCCTATTACAGTGTTATATACAATATTCTTTTCCGTTCAAGGTGTTGAGTTGTTTGTGCTTGTGCACGACTGCCAATGGAGCAACTAATGTATTATTACGACTCGATGTTATCCGATCCGATTTGTAATCCCATAATAGAGTAGGTGGAAAGGTTGCAAACTTGAAATGGTAGAGGAAAGGATCGCCTTGGAATTTAAAACAGTGTATGTGGCTGCAGCAGCAGCCAGTCTATTACAGCTGTGAAGATTAAATATTCTCAGTTTGATTGGCATGTGATTGCACACTCTTTCCAAGGCATATATACAAACACAAAGTGCACTTATTTAGTTTACCTCCGTAAACGATGCCAAACTGCCCAGAACCCAGAACCTCATCCGGGAAGATCTGGTAAACTTGACTTATGTCCTACACATAAATAACGTGCAAGTGTTAGGGTCTGCCAAGCAGTTTCCAACAACACATCAATTGAGCGCATGATACATCCTGCATTGTTTTTATTTTGCACGCGAATGGAGGCGTTTGTAAACCTCCTGGCGTTTGGTTGTGGGCGATGCAATCATACGTTGACATAAACCATAACAATTGCCACGTTCGCCCAACCAAAAGCATCTTTTTTCACCCCAATTAAAAGAAAAATGCTGATGAAAAACATTTATCCAGAAGGCACGCATAGGCTGAGGAACCTAAATGTGTCATTCATATTTACGTGGCGAAACTCAGCATTGTCTTTATGTATTACTGGAAAATGTGTGTGAAATTTAATTATTAAAGTCACCCCCCATTTGACCTCAACATATTGCCTGCATTATTCTGACAAAAAATATTCTCAACTCTCTCCTGCAAGATTAAATAGTAAAAAGAAGAGAGCTTAGGCATTTATAAAACCACATTTGATTAGGTTGCTGACTTTTTTTAATCCTGGGAAAAGGTCAAATATAGCACAAACCTCGTGATTAACACATTTGATCTCCAATTCCTCCTGGTTAGAATGAGCCCCTAACTCGACTTGGTAAAGTGAAAATTAGTCAAGCACCATGCCTCGAACACAGAAATACGTGTCCTATAATGTACACGGAATTAAAATTTTATTGCAATGGAACTTATTTAACAATGTGCCAAGGAACCGGTTCTCGGATTGTTGGACTCATTCATCGCGCACTCACCACGTTCTCTTGAATTTGACTGTTCGACACCGAGATGCTGATGGAGACTTCCCCTGGAACACAAGCACCAGAGTTTGGGTTCATTCATTCATTCATCTCCTTGCCGCAACCTCTACCCTCGAGGTGAATCTTAGACGCGGCGAGCTGTGTGTGCGTGTCTGTGTGCAAGATCATTTTTTTTGTTTCCCCTTTGCTGAAGCAATTTATATAATTTACACTCGCTGTGGTTCTTTATATTTAGCAGCCAGTGAAACAAGACCTTATTGCCCAACGAAAAACGATAAAAATAAAAACACAGAGAAAGTAGCTAGATGATTCATGAGTCCGAGCAATAAGCCAGCACCACGAAGATGCAAGAGTTTGAATGTGGGTGGTGTCAGCCGCCCCCCCGATTTAACTGGTTTCTCAAGTGTAGGGGAACTGGTCGTCTCAGCCCACGGTAGACGACCACTCCTCCACCACCGTGCCCATCGAGGTGCGCCACTCACGTCGGCCCTGCCGGGGCGTGTGCCCGGTGTGCCCGGGGGGCGCGGCGCCCTGCGACAGCACGGGCATGAGGGCCTGGCGGATCGCCATCTCCCAGGTGCGCGCCACCTCCGTGCCCACGCCACTGCTGGGCAGGCCGTAGCTCATCACGGCCGCGGCGCCCGTCACCGTCACCGGGTTCTCCCCGACGAAGTACAGCATGTTGGCCGTCGTCACCTCGAAGCAATGCGGGTTGCTGCCCGGCGGCAGAATGCCGAAGTTCCGCGACGTTTCCACGAGAAGGATCTCGGACAGTGGAATCTCCTGGGGTGGTGGGGGGTTGGGGCGGGGGAGGTGGGAGGCAGGGAGTGGAGAGCAGGACGCGATTGAGGAGGCTGCTTGGGCCCGTCGATCGGTGGGGTTTGCATTGAGACGTGTAGGGGGGGAAGTAAGCTGTACACGTGTGGTCCGTTCTGATGGCACACTCTTGCTGGGGGGGGGGTTATTTGACCATGCGCCTAATATACGGCACAGGCATTACCTGGCTCTCGGTCTGCGGAGAAGGCAACGGGATGCACTTAATAGCGTTTGTAAAACGCTGACGAGCGGTGCGGCGGTTTCCTTTACAAAACGGGCGGCAAAAAGGGCCCGAGTTCGATTCACAACTCGGGGCGCCTTTCTGTGTGGAGTTTGTATGTTCTCCCTCTGTTCTGCGTGGGTTTCCCTCCGGGCCGCTCTCTGGTTTCCTCTGAGAGCCTCTCCCCACCCCCCCACCCCCCACCCCCGTATAATGCAACTGGTATTGGGCAAATATTCATGACAACAACATCACCCAGTAGTGCAAAAAACTATTTGTCAGGAAGAGAGTCTTGAGACTCAGCGAAGCTTTCCTGGGTAAACAAACAAGAATTTAATGGTAAATGAAAGAGTCCTCGTATCGATTTTAAGCTTTCGTGACTGCGTGGATTCACATTCTTGGTTCTACGTAACTTTACCGAAAGAACCAAGAATAAATAGTCCTCATATCGTGAATGTATGAAGTGTGGTCTGTTCATCACATAACTGGACCACTAGCTCATTATACAAGGTGCTAACCCTACACGTTAGGAAACTCCTCATGCCACCGAATGGATTACAAGACTCAACGCTGCGAACATGTTTTGCACACGGAAGAGGCAGACTATCATACTTCACTGTGCTGGCCAGTGTGAGTTGATGATGAAGGTGTGAAGCATCGACGCGGGAGCACACAAGTACACAGTGGGCAGTGCGGTGTGGAAGTGGCCAAGCAAACCAATGCACAAACCCTCCTGCAAAAGAGTCTTGAGACTCAATGGGAATTTCCTAGATACATTAATAACACCATTATTAACATAGCATGAACGCACAACAGAGCTTATAACAATGTGATTTATTTGAATTCAATATAATATTTGTCACATTGCAGGACTGTGCATGATGCCAGCTTTGGGGAGGACTTCATCCAGCAGTGGATAAACCACGGTCGATTATGACAATCCATGTGCATGGGGTGCATCCGTACCTTGTAGTATTTGCTGCCGGTGTCGGTCTGGAAGAGGGTGAGGCATTTGCTGTCGAGACGCCAGTAATGTCTTTTCCGCTGCAATGAAAAAAATGCCGTCACCGTTCAGCCACATGCCAAGACAGCTGCGGTATTCCCTCGTTATTCACGAACTTGCTGTCCGTGGTTGTGGCATTCCGCGAACGGCATCCGGAACTCTACACGACTGCATTGAGAGAGAGAGAGACAGCTAGCGAGATGGTAATGAGATCGTGATCAGAGATAATGCAATGTGAGAAAATGATGAGATCAAGTGATGAGGAAAAGCGATGAGAGAATAAGTGATGAGATATAGAGACGAGGCAGATAAAGAGAACTTCTCAAACCTCTAGAAGATAGTTTTTCATAGGCCAATATCATGATCTGCAAAATTTGGAATTCACGAGCATGTCCAGAATGCATCCCTCACGATTAACGAGGGAATACTCTGCACACATTCATTCTCAGAGTTCAATTGACCAGGTGAGAAGCAGGTGAGACATCTTGTCTCTCTTTGCAAGTGTCTACCAGGTCAACAAGTGACAGCAGCACACACAGAGTAAGCAGCAGAGATTAACTGAGGGGGTATCCTGGACAAAAATAAACCTCTATAAACGACAAATATTAATCTTAAATGTAACCAATACTGGCTTCATCAAAGCACATGACAAGTCATTTAAAAAAAAATGTATTTATGTTGAATTGTCTCCACGTGGATGGTTGCATAATGACCACTAAACTATACAATTGACCCACTAAATTTACACACTCAAAAAAGCTGTATTTTCTGGACAATTACATTTTTTTGTGGATTCTGGATAGCTGTTATTTTTGCTCCTTGTTAGTGTGGACCATCCCCATCCTGTGATGTCATGTAAGAGCCACCACTACCCGCAGTCCTGAGCTGTGGTTGTCCTTCTAAAAGCTAAATGGGGCCTTGACCAGCTGAAACAAAGTCAGAGTCTGAACGGTGACCCGACACCAAAGTGTTCGAGTGAGAGGGAAGCAGACTCATGCCATTGGTGCGGTCATGGTGAGCCCTCATTCATTGTTCCATTCTTATTGAATAACCCTAATGACGCCAAGGGCGTGCGTTAATGTGTGGCCTGCCAACAATATCTGGTATGTCGTATTTGGCCCTTGGTGAGTAAAAGCTTTCCCACCGATGAAATAAAACAACAAATGCATCGGTCCTTTCACGTAAAGTCTGAGTGTCGATCTTGGCAGAGGATATTTTTGCTGTTGTTCCATAATTAATTTTTTTGTCCGAGGTCTTGGCATCCCTGTGTGCAGATTCTCCATGCAGTTTAAAGACATCTCTTTGGAGAGTTGAAAGAAAAATACGATTTAAAGCAATAAAATGCTCCTCTAAATCACGAGGTGTCACCACAACCTCTTAGTGCTATACCACGGACTTCAAAAAAATCGGCGGATGATCAAAACCCATTAGCCTCGCGGCTGCTAAGCAAAGATCGTCGCTTCATTACCGCAAAAGCATGTAGCAATCATAATGGCCGGCCATGTTTAAAGCAAGGTTATTACTGTTAATTCCTTCCACATTCAACGGAGGACTGTGAGAGAAAAGGCTAAAAATAACAACTGTTCATCCCACACAGGACTGCTGGTACATCTGTGTGTGGAGTGCACACGCACGCAAGCACACGCACGCGCGCACACACATTGTGTTGATGCCTCCATAATTTAGTCGTTAATGCAATTCTGATTTCAAGCAAAGCCTTTTGCTCCAAATGCAAACTCGTGAAATGTGAATCCTGCCGTGCAGCGATGAATTTTAAAGCACATCTTCCAGTTTATTTCCCATTTGTGTTGGGTTTCCAAAATAAATTATATTAATGCTTGGAATCCAGAATTCCATTAAGCGAAGGGAAGGGGGGGGGGGGGGCAGATAACTACATTGAATTAAAATGTTCCTTTAAAAAAAAATGTTCCAGCGTAATTCAGTCACAATTCAAATAGACTCCCCCACTCCTTCCCAATGCACCCAATGGATAATTCTCAGCTCGCTGGCTGCAACGGTAAATTCGCGGGGATTTTTTTTTTTTTGCCGGGAGCTGAATCGCCTAGCCACGTATCGCATGGCCGATCGCTTTCACGGGAACAAGATGACCCCCACCCCCCCTCCCACCCTGCCCCCCCCCCCCCCCCCCCCGCCTCCACCCACCGGTCTCGTTATACGGCATCGACAGACGCTCGGCACGAGTAATTTTGCGGCAAATCTCGGCGCGAACGGGGTTACATCGGCAATTAGCGCAGGCAGCCAGACCCACACCTGACAGCATTCGCCAGGGTTCAGTGACACCCACCACGTGATCATTTTGTTCATTCACACGTTAATTATTCGCCATAATAAACCAATGTTCTGCTGTTTCCTGTGGCCCGTGTTCGCACGTAGTGCTGCAGCTCACCGCAGCACGTGTAACCTACTCAGCTCCGCGACACAGATCAGGAGGGAACTTCTTTTGGAATCCGACAGTCACCATCAGCGGAACGTAATATGCTCATGAGGAGACGCTATCCAAGACGGCCGTACGGTACGCTTCCGAAGAGAAACGAAGCGCATCGCTAAATATAATTTTGCATTTTAAGTCTAATAACTTGTGCTTCTATAGTAGATGAAGGCGATGCCGAGATAATGCGATGATCATTGCATTCTCGTGACGTACTTTGGAAAGTTACAAGAGATTTGACTTTGGTTGGTCGACCTTTAGACTCTCGATAAACAAGATGTTCGTGAAAGAATGCACGAACCTAATTAATTTTAAAGATTCAAACAAAGTCACGATCATCCCCCTTAGCCAGGAAATTTAAATTGACAAAGATTCAGCTTTAAGTTTGTATTACCTACTCTACGTGAATCGCATCAGAGCGATGGTTTCCATGTACTGTGCATTGCATTTTTATAGGCCTGCTCGTCTGCCTTTCGTTCTGGTCGCTCATCATCTACGAGCCCACGAACAGTGCGTCCATTTTGTTATTGGTAATTTCTCAACGCCTTTCCAATGGTGCCAATTCGCATCGCACGCCGAGATGAAGTATCGCGACGGAGTGTCCATTTGGAATGCTGGCCTGAACACGAAGTTGAACGCACAACGCGTGGCCATATGCGGACAAGAAGACATAAAGAAAGATTCTCACTTGTCCACACATATCCATCAGTCTCGCAATTAATGTGTTCAGCTATCTGTGCATGTGACCATCCTGTCCATAAGCTCCTGACCAGGTGTCCTTTTGCTGTGATGGCCTCTTTTCCAAATTTTATTCCAATTGATCTATTGGCCTCATGTCACGGAGATGACGAAGCCATTCCAGAAAGAAAGAAAGAAAAAAAAACACGAATTTAATGAGGATTTTACGTCCGCGAGTGGGCTGAGATCATCAAGTCATTGAATTTGAGAGCCCGCTATAATCACGGGCGGATGAAACCCAGATTCAAATCCAGGATCACAGCGGCGGTGGTAGCTCCATACACCCCCCTCCCCCTTACTCCCGCCTCCCCAGCAATGGGCCACATAGCTCCCTCTTACCAGGGTGTCCTTGTTGGTGAAGTGAACCATCCAGCCTTCCTTAATGAGCAGGCTGTTCTTCCGCTTGGTGTGCTTGATCGACTGCACCACCCGCATCAGGGGGATGTTGTTACTGGTGGACGGGCTGCATTGGGGAATGGCAAAACAAACAAACAAAATAAACATTAAAATAACAGACTCGATAAAAAAATAATTGGTGCATTTGCTATTCGGCACGTTCGAACAGCTGAAGGCTTATCCTTGCAGAAGTGGCCACGCTTCACCAGGCGTAAACGCAGAAGAGGCGTGAGCCGTCACATGGGGCCACGTCTGGCGCGAGCCGTGGGGTCACAGCGTGGGACGTGGGGTCACAGCGCGAGCCGTGGGGTCACAGTGCGAGCCGTGGGGTCACAGCGTGGGACGTGGGGTCACAGCATGGGACGTGGGGTCACAGCGCGAGCCGTGGGGTCACAGCGCGAGCCGTGGGGTCACAGCGCGGGACGTGGGGTCACAGCATGGGACGTGGGGTCACAGCGCGAGCCGTGGGGTCACAGCGAGAGCCGTGGGGTCACAGCGCGAGCCGTGGGGTCACAGCGCGGGACGTGGGGTCACAGCGCGGGACGTGGGGTCACAGCGCGTGACGTGGGGTCACAGCGAGAGCCGTGGGGTCACAGCGCGAGCCGTGGGGTCACAGCGCGAGCCGTGGGGTCACAGCGCGTGACGTGGGGTCACAGCGCGGGATGTTGGGTCACAGCGCGAGCCGTGGGGTCACAGCGCGTGACGTGGGGTCACAGCGCGAGCCGTGGGGTCACAGCGCGAGCTGTGGGGTCACAGCGCGAGCCGTGGGGTCACAGCGCGAGCCGTGGGGTCACAGCGTGAGCCGTGGGGTCACAGCGAGAGCCGTGGGGTCACAGCGCGTGACGTGGGGTCACAGCGCGAGCCGTGGGGTCACAGCGTGAGCCGTGGGGTCACAGCGAGAGCCGTGGGGTCACAGCGCGTGACGTGGGGTCACAGCGCGAGCCGTGGGGTCACAGCGCGGGACGTGGGGTCACAGCGCGGGACGTGGGGTCACAGCGCGAGCCGTGGGGTCACAGCGTGGGACGTGGGGTCACAGCGAGAGCCGTGGCGTCACAGCGTGGGGTCACAGCGCAAGCCGTGGAGACACAGCGTGGGACGTGGGGTCACAGCGAGAGCCGTGGGGTCACAGCGCGGGACGTGGGGTCACAGCGCACGGCTACTCTCATTGGTGATGCTGGAGCGATCGTAGTTGTCGTCGATATTTTTGTCGGAGATCCTTGAGTCGTTGTGATCAGTGGTAGTGGAGTCATCGATTTGGTTGCTTCGTGCTGGGTTTTGTGGTTGTTCACAGCGCAGCCCCAGAGCAATTGTGCCTACCTTATGACAATAAGAATATTTATTTATACTGGAGGAATCCGATAAGCTATAAAGCTATTTATCACAGATGTCCAATAGGGGCAGGTCAAAGTATAGGAAAGGTAAACTTAAAAATAGAAACAAATAAAACTAAACAATGTTTTATTCTTACCAGGAAAAGGCCACTGAGCTATTGGCTTGTTTTTCAGAAGCTGAACGAAATGGATTATCATGTGGAAATATATCGCATCAAAATAATCTAAATACTCTGTGGAGCCGCCTCCAGGATTCCCACCCAAAAGCAAACAAAGACAAAGATCCCCCGTTTAGCCTTAACAGACTGTGGGGGCAAGTGGTGTTGGTAAGCACCTATGAAGGTTGGCATGGCACACGAGGGGGATGGTTGGCCAACAGCACGCCCGGCCGCCTTTGTCTCCCCAGTGGTGACGTTTACACACTTCACCAGGTACTCATTTGAGGATGAGTCGACCGAGGGGAGGCCCAGAACCGGTTCAGATAAACGCCGCGAGCGGGAATCGAACCCGGGTCGCCGAGGTTCGAAGTGCGACACGCTATAGCCGTTACGCTACCACTCCACTACGATTCCCTCCACCACCACCACCACCAGCGGCCGGTGACACAAACCGAACATCTCACCCGCACATCCCCCCCCGCCCGCCGGGGCCCACCTGATCACGCGGGACGTGTCGCCGTCGTTCTCGGGGTCCAGGTCTATGCCCTCGCCCATCTCCGGCACGGGGGTCCCCCCGCGAGGGGGGCGCAATTCCCTATCCCCCTCGGGGGGGGGGGCCCTCGTCCGCCGAGCCGTTGCGGCCGCCGTCTTCGTTGTCGTCGCTGTTCTCCTCCGTCACGACCTCGGCGTCCTGCCCGGGGCTCAGCAGATCTGCGGCGCAACGCGCACACACGGCATCGTCATCAACGTGCACACACACGGCATCGTCATCAACGTGCACACACGGCATCGTCATCAACGTCACCGCCATCGTCATCAACGCGCACACACGGCATCGTCATCAACGTGCACACACGGCATCGTCATCAACGCGCACACACGGCATCGTCATCAACGTCACCGCCATCGTCATCAACGTCACCGCCATCGTCATCAACGTCACCGCCATCGTCATCAACGTCACCGCCATCGTCATCAACGTCACCGCCATCGTCATCAACGTCACCGCCATCGTCACCGCCATCGTCACCGTCGCAACCCCCATGGCTCCCTCGTTAGTTTGGCACTTGCACAGTTCCATTGCGTGTAATAAAGAATTGTTTTTTGTTTGTTGCCCTTCCCCGCACCTCCGACAAGCACGATTTGCTACGTACGGTGCAAAAGAAGTTCAACATACATACAACGTGTTTTGGGTTAGGTCGCGTACAAAACCTTACCGATTGGCTCTGGCAGGTATTGGTGGGTTTACGACACATTTGCATTTACGCGATCTAGCCCAACACAACATATGACTAAGATTGGTTGCGAAAGCCTACGTGTTAAATTAGTTCCATTGCACCTTCCTCTACCCTCCCCATCAAGAACATCGCCTGAAAAACGATTTAAAAATATACTGTGTTCTCTGGATAATAGAATTCACTCCCACCCCCCCCCCCCTCGCCATACTTTAAATAAAAGGTTTTGTGGTGAGTCTTATAATCCAGCTGGTGCGCGTGTCCGTGCGTGCACGAGAATATGTTTTTTTGTAGTAGTGTAGCGGTTAGCACTACGCTGCACTTCGAACCCAGTGACCCGAGTTAAATTGCTGCTCACGGCCATCAACACCCGTGACGATGATCTGAACCAGTCCTGGGCCTCCCCTAGGTCGACTCAGCCTCAAGTGAGTACCTGGTGCGGTGTGTAAACGTCGCCACCGGGGAGACAAAGGTGGCCAGGAGTGGTTACTGGTCATCCACCACCTCGTGTGCCGTGCCGGCCTTCGTAGGTGCAACTCACGAACAGCACTTGCCCCAACAGTCTGTTAAGGCTATACGGGGGTTCTACTTTGACCAGATTTAAATAACTTTACTGTCATCGGGTACACGTTTGGGGTCCTTCTTACTTTCCGGAGCATCTTATAAATCGGAGAACCCGGTAATAGATGACGTTTCGGGCATGAACCTTCTTCATCAGTGGATATCTCTGCTCTGAAGAACAGCCATTTCGTCAAACAATTGTTTATTGTAAATGTTCCCTTCTTCAGGACAGTGTTCTTGAGGAATGCTCGTACACCACTGACAACGCAGTACCGCAAACAATTTTGGTTCCATTTTCCTACATTCACATCTCGCTGCAATCGTTCCCAATGGGCAAATGCTTCATCTCATGGACAACGTGGCTATGCTGTGGACAGCAGAGTGGGCAGGGTGGCAAAATCCATCGTCGTACTGTACTTCTATGTTCCAGTATTTTCGCCAAACTCACACGGACCAGTGTGGCGAAGCATGGTCAAATAACTCCTCGCGACGTGATCTGCATGGCATGGGGTGGTCCTCAGCCAGCAGTGCCATTAAGAGGTAACTGGTAGAGGTGGATGCTTGGTGTGGAATCAAATTGCTTGGTCATAGCTCTGTGTTGTTTGTTTGTCCTCAAAAATAACAAGGGTAGTAGGTAGCTTGTCCCTCATACGATGTGCCATTTTTGGAGGGAGCCGTAAAATAATTGGGTATTTTTTATTTTGAAAAAACCAACGGCGACTTGTTATCAGAGCCGACGGGCCCAGGTCAGATATTTTACTGCCGGTACCACCTGACCGTCCCCCGACTTCAGCGGTCCCAACATAGCTATGTGGCCAATAACAATGGAATTATGTGATGCCAGTTTGAAATGAGCGCAGTTTGAAAATAATTAACTCTCATTTGCCATGTAAGTAAATGGGTACGACTAAAGTTTCTTGCTACCTTAGGTGCTCTGGGCCGCAGACTAAATGCTGCACATCTCCATGCTTGGTAAAATGTGACGTGGCAGGCAGTCCGGGTATAGGTGCTACACGACAGCAACTGCGTTAGCACTGAATTGTTCATTTCCAAATCGGCTGGCTATATTCGGTGCGTTCAGTCATGCTATGCCTTACCTTCTTATTTTTGTTATTATATATATTGTGAATAGAAAATAATAATAATACAAATAACAAGAAACTATGTAAATTCATTAAATTTGGTGTTGATGATATTTACGGAGTTTTTGTTCAAGAGTGGATATACTGAGCCACTACCCTACCCCTGAATTATCTCGGCATTTGAGGACAAATGTTCATGTTGTATGTAATTAGTTGAAATTACCCCTACAGCCAAGGGAGGTGCTGCAGTACCCCACGATAGTTAAACACAATAATCAACTTTTAAATCGAATCATGACCCTGAATCATGGCAATTCATCGAATCACAAGTGGGCTAATAATCAATACGGGAAACATTTTCACATCGCTCTTTCTATTCTATTGAATGGGTTTCCGAATGCACTCTTAACATTTCCATTGCCACGTGGAATACAATTACACGTAGGGAGCTCTTACTGTGCAATATGATCTCGTGTTAACATTTAACAAAATGTCAAACATTTACATTCTGTCAATTTACATTCAGCCTCAATGGAGGCCTCAACACAAGCGAAATGAAGCGGTGGTGTAATGCCCCATTTTATAAAAATAGAATAATAATTTAAGGTTCCTTCTCAATCTGCTGCTGGATTAAGGCTTCCACATGCAGTGTCGGGCATGGGAGTTTTTTTTTGCCTTACTTCACCATGCTGGTTCGTATGGGTTGGTGAAGAGGGATGGGGGGGGGCATGGTTTATATATAACAATTCACCGCTGATCTCAGCCACGGATAGGAATACAACTTAGGCTGTACGTATGTATGTTGAACTTCTTTCACACTGTACATAGCCAAACCCCGCGAATCGGAGGTGTTGGGCAAGGACAACAAATTAAACAAAAAAAGCAGCTCTGAAGAAACGGGTTTTCCATCTCGATTTAAAAGTGCATAGCTCCAGTGGCTTCCTAATATTGGAAGGAAGAACGTTACAGACTGCCGCATAAGCACATCTGAGAGCGCGCGATGCAGTGGCCGTCTTTGTTGGATGGCCAGCCAAAAGCCGCTGCTGTGAGGGTGACCGGAGTCCGCGTGATGATTTAATGCTCCTTGACGAGACCAGAAAGATTGCCGGGTCGGTGGCACATTGCACCAACCACTGCACCGCCATGCAGTTCTTAACCTGATAAGATAAATACCAGCGTGACTGTGGAATCCAATGCACTTTCACAGGCCTTGTCCTTGGCACGAACCTAAAATACCTGAACTTTGCCCTAACCATAACACATGCTCTGTTCACCATGATCACCAGCCACGATATATTCCACTGCTGGATGAAAGCATCCCCATTACCGATGCAAACCACCATGGTCTTAAAATGTCACAATCAATCTGTCTCGAAGCCCATGGGCAGACCTCAATTCATACTCCATCTCCTCTGTGGTCGCCCTCCCGTGATAGTTTTCAACTAATGTTCAGGCTGGTTGCAGTGTAACGCAGAGTCAACTGAACTAAGATTTTCCACCTATTTGCATTGCGACTTATCACCCGTTTAAATTAGCTCCAGCAGCTCCGGCTGAACATTCATAGCCTTTGCCCTTGTAAACTACTTACCGCAAGACGTGCTCAAACTATCTCCCTCTGCTGCGAGATCAAAATCGCAGGTTTTATTTTAGAGGGTTGACATTGCAAGAACACCGCGTTCAATGTCACGCTTTTATTAATTCCCCATGCAGAAAGGATCGCGAGGTTTATAAGCTCAGCATAAATATGCATTTCAAATGCATTTTTATGCTAAAGTATATTTATTATAGCTTGCTCCACCCCCCCCCCACCCGTGAGTGCTGCTCAAAATTTGTGTTTTTTCTTGATTTTCGTCACGTCTTTCCCGCCCAAAAGTACAACTGCGACCGTGTCTACCATCATCGGCAGCACCACGATAGCGGCAAATACAATTTGGTGCACGGAGCAGGACATCTTATCAGAAGTGGATATCGTTCCACGTCATTACGAAATAGACTCGTATCAAAATAAAAAACACCTTCATGAACGTCGAACACAACCACGCAGCGCGTGGATGCCAATTAAATGGTGCCCAATGTGTCAAGCAAAACAAAAATTCCCATCTATATGAGGGGCACTACATCTGATAAATGAGTGTTGTGTCTGGAGTTGAATGATGAACATGGACCCCTTGTGCAAGGAATTAAATTAGGGCAGCCTGTTCAATTTGTCCCTCTTCATAGCTGGGTCCATGGACCTTGGTGCAGTTACACTGCCTGTACACTCGATAGCTATGTCGTTGGTGATAATTTTTTTCTCTTTCTCTCTTAGCCATGGAATTAAACAGTCTCTTACCTCCATTGATGATGACTTCGCCCAGGCAGTCTTTTGGCACTTTTGGAGCGCAGCGTTTGTGGCAATTGAACTTACAGTCTGCGGGCGGCAGGGAGAAAGGGGTACAAGATGCAATTAATTCACAACAAATCACAATCAGAAGCGAGGCAGGCGATTGCAGTGGTTGGAGCAAGCATCTTAGTCAATGGAAGCTCGCGAGTTAAATTGCCGGTCAAGGATCAGTTATTCACTTCACTGGGTGCTGATGAAATGGGTACCACTTTTGAGGAAGTCAATGGTGGTTACCTTACTCTAAACAATACATATTTATTTTACCAGGTAAGGCCCACTGAATTATATGGCCACAAACAATAGCGCTACAAAGTGGCTTATCATGTGGAAATGTATCGCAGTCAAATACTATAAACGCATGTTGATTCTAAACGTGGAGGGGAAAACCGGAGTTCCCGGAGAAAAATCGACGCGACCACGGGGAGAACATGCAGACTTCCAAATATACAGCAGGTGTCAAGGTATGGATCGAACCCATTACCCTCCTGAATACCAGGTGAGGTAGCTAACATCTCTCAGCAGCTGTCACGGGAAGATTAGCCGAAACCCACCCCTAGCAGGGAGCCCCGCTGTGACTTTTCATTTCACCTGCGGTCTTTATTCAAGAGGAGGAGACGGATATATATATATATAAAGTGGGTCATTAGCATAAAATTTAAGTAAGAAAATGCCAGATGACAAAAAATTGGCAAGCGACAGAAATTTCAATTCGCGAGGACAAGCACTGGGTTTGAGGCAGAGAGGTGGCAATCCTTCTCATACATAACAAAAAACAACATTAGTCGCATTAAACGTAACACGGGGTTATTACTCTCATGATGATTGTTTAACTGCAACTGTTATCTGCATCTCCACACCCAAGGCCACCAAGCCAATGGTCACAATGAGCCAAGAGCGAACCCCTCTATGAAGAGTATTTTGAGCCGTCTCTGCTAATCTCAGGGCCCCCATCTGTCTGGCTGGACGTGGCGATCAGAAGCCGGCCGCGGCCATCGACCGCAGACTCGTGAATCACACGTTGATTTCGTTTCAATTTATTTTATTTCATTTGTAAAAGCTCGATGACAAACAACGGACGGAATCAGCCGCGCCATTGGCTACCGTAATGCTGGAATAGATAAAATAAACTCTTTAAGACTGCACGAATGAATTAATGAATTAGCAAAAAAAAATCCAAGCGCGGTCAAAACTCTCGATTGTCTGTTGTCACGGGGCAATGGGTGGCCAGGAGAAAAATAAAATGTGGATGATGCACAACGCATTTGGATAACGCCACAGAAACGAATTTATCGTTTAGCTACAAACAAAAGGGGGGGGGGGAGGGAGGGGGGGGGGGTTGAAAACCGGGAATGTGTTGTCCGGATTTGTTTTTATTGTTCAGTCAAGTAATCTGATTACTTGCCGAGGTATTTGCAATCACGTGAGCACCAAGTTACTGGCCATCAACTAGTCAGGAAGCATGGTTATGGTTTAAAACCCGGATATAATCGGCCCACGGATAATCAAGAGTCAACAGTAATATTATCCAGTCTCCCTGCTCAAGCATATATGGGTCAAGCTCATGTGTCAGCAACAATGTGCCAGTGCTCGAAATACCACATTCCTATGGCAGGGCCCAGTATATTCACAGGATAACCATTTACTCGAAACAAAACAAATAATGGAACTTAATCCAGCATCAGTGTCAATCAAAAGCAAGCAATGCTGACAATGCCAATACAGAGGTAGTCACTATCCCTCTCCATCAACCCTCATACACTGCAGCAAAGAGAAATAGTTTTACCCTGCCCTCTTATGATCCTTGAGCACCGTAATGCAATAGAGCTCCGGTGATGCATTGTACCGCCTGTCGTTTGGCATGATGTAACGAGTTAAGGCTTCAACACCCATACAATGCACATTTAGTAGTCTCCCTCCGTCATCGCCTCTCGTTCCTCTCGTGAAGCCTCCCTCTTATTCTTGGTTCTTTCAGTAAAGTCATGTAGAAGGGAAACAATAAAATAAGAAAAATATTTTTTATTATTTTATTGTTTTTTATTATTTTATTGTTTCCCTTCTCCGTGACTTTACCGAAAGAACCAAGAATATGAATCCCTGCAGTCACGAAAGCTTTAAATCAAAAGCCTACCTCTGTTCTATTGCCCACTCTCTTCCCTCCCCTCGCCCCTCCACTCCTTCCCGTCCCTCCCCCATCGCTGTCACTCAGTCAAAACTTGCAGCACGCCCCGTCAACTACATCATTCCATTCTGCCATCGGTTTGTAAGCTTATGTCAAGTGCCTTGAGTGAAGGTGCACTTTAAATATAAATCGCATTAGATGAATGTAACTGGCATTGTGGCCAAAAAGGCAACACAATTTTTCTGCAAATGACTCTATTGGGATGACATGCAGCAGCATCGTCGCCTGCGACTGTGAACACGCGGCAGCACCCTCCTGAAAACGAGGCTTGAGACGAAGCGAGGCTTTCCTGGGTAACAAAGCGTTATAACAATAATGATGATCGAGGTTTCCCTCCACGTGTTGGGAGCTTCTTCAGGCACAGGTGGAGAGCAATGTGCGTGCATGTGGGGTGGAGTTAAACATTCTGTTGGGAGTGGTGGCGCAGCGGTTAGCATGCTGACATACGACTCGAGTTCTATTCACACTCACGGCCAACACCAGTAACGATTATCTGAATCGGTTCTGGGCCTCCCATAGGTCGACTCAGCCTCAAATTACTACCTGTTGCGATATGTGAACATCGCCACAGGGGAGACAAAGGCGACCGGGGGGTGGTGCTGGCCGGCCACCCCCTCATGTGCCGTGCCAGCCTTTCATAGGTTATTCGCTAACAGCACTGGCCCCATACAGTCTGTTAAAGGCTATATGGGGGGGATCTTTGTCTGTGTTGTACATTCTGCTTCGATCACATACAGTTGCAGGCTGCTGCTGGTGTTGGATGTAGGCCGGTGATGGATGTTATTTACTTTATTCTTCTCGCGTGCCGTACATAGTGAAACGGGAGAAATCTCAACCCAGTGCATACCAGAGTGACAGCACTCTGTACTGGTCTGCCAAACGGGCAGGTTTCATGAACCACAAGTGGTGGCCACATACGCACAAGCTGAAGAATAACATCTGCCGGCCTTTATCACGGACAACTAGCAACTATAAACAATAATCTAATAATCACATTTTCATTTGAATGGTGCTTAACGGTCTTTAAATCTCAAACCGCCTTCTACCACAATCTCATCCCAACCATTTCAAGGGGACCTCCTCTCCCCCTCAGTGGCAGTTCTCCCTGTTCAGCACAAGGTGGCTCAGTATTGGCCAACACAGTGGACATAATCTGCCCTTAGAGTGTGTTTATTGCTACATACAATCCCAATTGAGTAACTTGGAAATCATTTGCAGGATTGAAAATTTAATTTGTTTAGAGCTGCTTTTTGCGTTTAGTTTGTCCCCCCCCCCCACGCACCTCCGATATAGCACGGTTGGCTACGTACGGTGCGAAAGAATTTCAACGCACGTACGTACACAGAGGACCCCACAAACACCCAGACCTAGAGAAGTTCATCGTACAATAAGTTCAACGTACAGACGTACGTGCATGCAACGACCACCGTTGGGCTGGACGTGAGACCGTGAATGCACGGGGCTCATGCTGTGAGCTCGTGTTCTAAGATAAAAGTCGGTTCCCCCCCCCCCCTCCTCCTTAATTAGGCTCCTCTCTGTTCTGCTTTACACATCCGAGGGCAGGCAGTGGCTCTCACCGCTGTCATCATGCAGATTTCACATTATTCCACCCGCCGCTAACGAACCTCGCGGTTTACTTTTGTTCCCACATTTGGCGTGCATCCGCTCATCAGAAAGCTTCCCTTAGATTTCAGTCGGTGTCCTGATTATCACCCCCCCCCCCGCATCGCTCGCGACTTTGGTTACGTGCTGCTCTATGGACGCATTCATCTCCCTGCCACTCTCTTCGCTGGGCTGTGATTAATATTATTTATTCTTCAGACTCGGTTTTGTTGTTTGTTTATGCGCAGTGTTAAATCAGCAGGAGCATTTTAACAGAATTTCTGCCGCTTCTTTGTTGTCATTTGCGTACTTAAATATGAAAACTTTTCTTTCCCCTGAATAATACATTGTTTGGATTGTGCTTGCATGTCACGTGTTATGATAGGAATCCTGGCAATGCATTACCCCCCCCCCCCCCCCCAACAGAGAATGGCCTCTGACAAGCGATTTCTAAGCATGTAATCATTCACCGACTGCCCAGTTATTCGGTGAACTGTGCACATCCAGCGTTGGGAATCGATTCGAGAATCAATAACTTTTTTCCCCTCATCTAATATTCATTAAATGTCTTTATCCAGTTTTGTCCACTCAATTCGCCTAAATGTAACATGAGCTTATCGTATGCATATATTTTTCCGAAATTGCAAATAACAGATTCTCAGACATACACAATTCTGCGTGTGCATCGTGAGCGTCGGACTGGATTTCATCGATGCACCAATTCTACAATCATTTCGATTGCATCACCCATCTTAGAGAACGGCCCTGCAGATGCAGATAGCACAAAACTATTTCTGAGACCCATTAAATTGACTCTCATCCACACCAGGGGTGCTGCACATTTGCATGGTCCGTGCCTACAGAGAAATTTGCTGCACGGCGATCAAAATAATGTTTTATTCAAGTTGTAGGATATGGAATTTTTTTAATGAAAATTACATTTATTATGATTCACGGGGGGCAGGGGGTGGGGGTGCAGTCATTAGTCGCCAGCCATCTCTCGACATTTGAGCCGGAAGTCGGGTTTAATCACAGGCCTGTGACTAAACTCGACTTCCGGCTCAGTGCTCGCGGAGCCACCAGGCCACCTCCACAGGGCATCTTTGAAGTGGTGGCCCACACCTGTAACACACAAAACTTTGGAGGAAAAGCGTTTGCGGATCGCAGATTTGTGACACTCTGTAACTTGCTCGGCTGCGAGAGAAAGCAGCACATTCAAGCGAGTTCATTCAGACGTGATTTCCTGGATTTAAACCCAGGCTCTCAGGGGAGGTGGCAACACATCCAGCATATTTTACAACACCATATGCTAGGTTCATGTCACGATATTGTTTCGTACAGCTCGGTGGATGCCACGGTGGTGAGATGTTAACTACCTCGCCTGTTATGAAGGAGGTCGTGGGTTCCATCCGGACCCTGATACCTGTATATTTGGAGTTTGCATGTCTCTCGCCCCGTGGTCACGTGGATTGTTCTCAGAGTCCTCGGTTTTTTTCCGTCCACATTTAGAAACATGCATTTATAGTATTTGGCTGCAATAGAAATCTCCACATGATAAGCCACTTGGTTAAGCTATAATTTATGGCCAGGTCGTTTTTGAGAAAGAGCTTCATAGCTCAGTGGGGGCCTTACCTGGTAATATAAAAATGAAAACTGTTTAAGTTGAAAATAAAATAGTTTATTGTTTAAACTTATAGACCTACGCTAGGCAAAAAAATCACCGAGCTCCGGACAGCCACTGGACACAGCCCCCGAGCTTCCTGCACGGCAACCCCATGGAGCTCGTGTTATCACATTTAGTGGACACTTCTATAAATGTCTCTCAATTGTCACATCTACAGATGAGATGTAGCTGTGACAATTGATTTTTCAAAAGGAAACATCATTTAGCGAGTACTACATCGCAATACTATTTTTAAACGGGGTTTCTCCTTGCGATGTTAAATCATTCTACTAATGGAGTCTTTATGGATGTTTAAGGAAACCAGAGAGAGGGGCCAGATAAAATGCATGCATGGAGGGAAATGGGTATTTAAATTTTTTAAAAAGGTACATCTGCAGCGGACTTAATTTCATCATCATCATCATCAGCCATGACCAATCCGCGACTGAATGAAGGTCTACCCCACATTGTCCTGTGATGCCAAAATCCATTTCATCTCCGAGCAAGATGATTTCTTCGCTCTCTCTCTGCGGCGAACATTATGGTTATAGCTTGTGATCCAAGAGCAGTACAGGCAGATAACAAATTCACCAACAAATCAACAAGGCAAAATCCATTTTCCAAAATGAATGTTTGCTTTTCGAGAGAGGGCATAACCTGACGAGGGGAGAGCGGGCAAAAGAGGATGTAATCGCGAGACTCGTGAGGGACACTTCTTGATGGATGGCTGAATCACAATAATCATCAGCATACTACTGCTCCATAGATATTCATTTTCATCATCATCATCATCATGTTGCTGTTGATGTATTGAAATATTTTAATTCATACTCTTTGGTTTTTTCGGTAAAGTCACGAAGGTAGAAAAATAAAATAAAATAAAAAAAATTACATATCACGACGTTTAGATCGCAACAAAAGCGGTCGTCCTCAGGCGGGAAAAAAATAATAATCCAGCAGTGTAACTGCTGAACCAGCGAGAGAGCTGTTACAACAACAAGAGGTTATTTACGTGGCGATGGGCAAGCAGGCGCGGGTCTGAGCTGGAAAGGAATTCCATCCCCGGACGCAAGCATGTCAGTTGTGTTAATGGGTGAGATTAGGGGGATAGAGATTAGCATGAAATGAGCTACCTCATGTCATGCTAATGATAAATGAAAGTGGTAAAAGGATGCCGAGACCCCAGAGTACACGGTCGTCCTTCTGTGAATGAGGCCACCACCACCATCATCATCATCATCGTAATTTCCGTCCACACTTTTGACTTTAATTCTCACGTAACACTGTATGAATGCAAGAAAAGGCCGTCTCCTATGTAGGGGGGTGTCCTCAACATGCCCCAAGCCGAATTGGGAGCATGTCACTCCAGTTTTAGATTTAAAGCCAGGATCCATAAGGCCAAGCTGATGCCTAGGCCAATGTCAAGGCCTGTCCTGGTTGGATCCTATAGGCGGAGACCACAGTCAAGGCCGGGTGCCTCGAGCCCAACTTCACAGGCCAGATGCCACACCCCCCCCCCCCCCTCCAATGCCAAGGTCAAAGATGACACGAGAGAAAATTCGTGAGCATTTAATGTAGTCATATAAATTACAACGGATCACGTTAATCTGGGGAATATGCAGTACCTATTATCAGTTGGGCTATTGACAGTTAATCAACGCACGGTGGAATGCTTTTACGCTCGGCTTTGTTGTCCCACGCCGCCACCTCCGATTGGCACGCTCGCGCTCACCTTTGCACTGCATGCCCTGGCGGAAGAGGCCCTTGAGCAGGCGCTTGCAGAACTGGCACATGGTGGGGCGCTTGTAGGAGTGCACGACGAAGGTGTGCGGCACCTTGACCTTGCCGGCGAAGGCGCGGTCCACCCACACGGGCCGGCCGCTCCACGAAGGCGAGCGCCGCTCGCGCCCCGCCGCATCCTGAGGGCTCTTCTGAATCGCCGGGGGGTGGGTGTAAGAGACGCGCGTAAAGACAATGGCAAAAGTCCCCGCGCCGTTGTTGTAGCCTCAACGGCGGCTCTCGGCTGGCCGTCGGAACGAAAGACGGCAAAAGGTGGGTTCGCCGCGACGCGCGCTTTCAGACGCCCCTTCCGCAGCCGCCTGCAAACGCTCTTGCTTTGCCCATATTGGGAAGCCAATGGGAGCCGCGCACTTTTAAATCGGCTGCACCGCCGTTTAGCACGGTTGGCTACGCACGGTGCGAAAGAAGTTCAACATACGTACGTAGAACTGATTGTTGGGGCAAGCGCCATGAGCGTGTGGCACAGGAGAAGGTCAGCACTGCACGCACCAAGAGGGGGGTGGGGTGGCCGGCACCATGCCCAGCCCGGCTGCCTCCATCTCCCCTGTGTTGATGTTCTTAGGCAATTAGCCAGGTACTCATTTTAGGCCGGTTCAGATAACCGGTCACTGGTGTTGGCTGTGAGTAGGAATTGAACTTAGGGGTCGCCAGGTTCGTAGCGCAGCGCATTAGCCGCTGTGCCATCGCATGTACGCACATGTGCAACGGCAGATGCACACACAAGCACAGGATGACACGGACATGCAATCGGTTACACAAACAAGCACAGACAACGCAAACATGCTCAGAAACAAGCCACGCAAAATCACGCACAGATTTAATCGCCGCGCATGCGTGCAAAACACACGTGCGCACATATGCATGCACACACACATATATATAGACAAGCAGTAAATCATATGTAGACACCCAATGTGGGCACGCAAAAAAACGCACATGCATAGAGACCTGCACCGACGGACACACACACGCACGCACATCAACGTGTGAACCAAGACGTGAAAACGTCATGGCATCATTGCTATTAGCAACATACTGTTAGCGACATTCTTCAACATTGCCGTTGTGTAATGTGTTGCATAGTGCACAGTAATACCATTCGCAGTTGTTGCGCCAATAACAAAAGCACAAACTAAACAAAAGGCAAAGCTAAACAACAAAACGATCCTAGCAGTGGTTCTGGATTAATGAAACGTCACGTTTTTATTTTATTTTTGCAAAGTCTGCTCGTGCTATTTTCAGGCAGCTTAAGATAGTCTCGGCACTTGCAAGGGCTCTGAAGGGAAAAAAGGGCAAGGTGGGGGAGGGGGGGGTGAAAGCGACTTTAACGAAGCAACACTCCTGCGGCAGAAAATCGAAAAAGATGACAAGGAAGAAAAATGAGCCAATATGTACGAAGGCTGGCGTCTGCTCGCTCTGGCGAGCGCCGTTGTGGATCTGCTCGACTCGGCCACAGGTACAACTGCCGTGCGGCGCGCAGCGCTGAGGAGCCCGGGCTGGCAAAAGGCCCAGACAAAGAATCCACATGGGCAGAACGACGACGAGTCGCGTGGGTGTGTGCAGGGTGTCTGGGAAATGAGCATTTCAGATAAGTCGGTGTCAAAATCAATGCCCCCACCCCCGCACCCTGGTCCCGTAAATTATTTCAACAAGTTGACTGTGGCCAGCAGTGTCAAGGGAGTTTTAATTTTTTTTTTAAATCGCATTGCTCCTCTTCCTCCTCTTCACCCAGTGTAGCCAATAAAATGAGTTAATGCGAGTGTGGTCCCCTACACAGGGCCCAGTACATGCGGAGAGAGACTTTATTTTATGTAGGTGCGGCAGGTTAATCTATTGAGAGTCAAGTCGACAGAGGGCCCAGATTTCACAGTCGAATGGATTTGCACCTCGGCACGATGTGACGGCTGCCCCCTTCCCCTTCTCCACCCTCCCCACCCCCTGCTTCCAAACCACGTGCAGCCAAAGCACTCAGGGAGGTCGACACAGCCAATCAGAAGCAGTCTTGGTACCAGCTCTGGCCAAGCAGTGGGCTGAGCATGTTGAATCTTTTTGGGCAAATATAGACAGATTATTTTTTTTACTGCCCTTGAGGTAAATTTGACTTGCCTTGCAGTTCAATATTTTAAATCCCAAAATGTTTACCTCCTAAGTGTGGATATAAATGGTAACAGCAAATGACAACTTCAGTTTCAGTACTACAGCAGTACCTACATATATAGATCATTTTGTGCAATACATCACGTGTACATTTGCACGCAATTACAATGCGAGAAATAGATTATTTCACGCGTAAGTATCGCCACAGGTGTAATTACACAAAGTTATATGACGCAAAATTAAATAAGGGACTTGCATTGGCAGTGGTTTGTAAAGACAACTGAAATAATAGCACAATCATCATGTATATCCAGTGGAAGTGAACGAAAAAGTCGAACTGTAATTTAGAACCCTTAGTTTGTTGTCCTTCCCCACACCTCCGATTAGCATGGCTGGCTTCGTACGGTGCAAAAGAAGTTCAACAAACATACATGCATACAGTTCAACAATTGAAATAGGGCCTCCCCATGCTGCGTGGGTCATGGGGGTTTGTTGGCCATACTTCCCCACACAGCTGATCAGTGCGACTTCGTGAAGCTTGGGGGGGGGGGGGGGGAGATGAGGCCCAGGACCAGAGGAATTAATTTTGAAATGTTCAGATTGAAAACAGCAAAAAAACCAGTGCAGGCAATGGTTGCCAAAAACTGAAATTACACAATTTATCTCGCCTGGTCCAGATGATGTATTTTAAGCGTACGGGGCTGAGAATGTGTGCATTAAAAAAAAATCCTCCCCAAAATTGAAAAGTGGCTCACGTGTGTAATTGCATAATCGGTGGTGGGAAAAAAAAATGCTCCCGTTCAGCCACCTGAACTCATTTTTTTCGCCATATTTTTTTTGTTGATTTTAAACTTTCTTTGGCACATCTTACTGCTCCGCAAGTTTAAAATAGCTCTGTTAACGCTGTTTACACATCGTTGTTCAATCCACTGCTGGATGAAGGCCTCCCCATGCTGTCACCATCCCTCACAGTTCTGTGATGCCACAATTTAACTCACTCCTGGCACACGAGCTCATTACGTCGCCAAATCTCATTACGTCGCTAAATCTGCACAGTGGCCATTCTTGCAGGTGCTTTCCCTGCATTATATATTTATATACGTTACCTATTTTTTGTGATTTGCTCACCTTTCCTATACTTTGTACTCTTAACATGTTGTTTTTGTCTTGTTTGTTGTAGTAACTTTTTGACCCGCCCCCTACCGGACATCTGTGAAAAAGAGCCTCATAGCTCATCGGATTTCTCGAGGCTAAATAAACACTCCGATTTAGATTTTAACTTATTTGGTCACGACCTTTTTTTTTCCACATCATGCAGAGTGAGCAAACATAATTAATTATAGTTATTGTTGGCATTAAGAAGGGACAATTAAAGCAATGGTCAAGTTTCTTACATCCCCTCCCCCGCCGCTGTCCACCCAGCAGAATAAAAGAGGCTATTGACTATTCGTCGATCGGCAGATCGTGTGTGGTGCGGGTGAGGTGTGGGTATTTCCACCTGTTCCAACACATCTGACCAGCGAGAAAGTAGGTAAAAGTACCTTCTAGATGGGCCCTCTGGAGGTGCCAATGCAGCAGTGCTGTGGGGCAGCCAATTGCAGAGCTGCGCCTTTGCCTTCAAGTCAATCATTAAGTTAGGCCGCGTGAATGATTAATGTCGCAAGTTTTTTTTTAGTTTTGCTTAAACACACACAATTATTATAATTATTAGTTTTGCATAACTCGTAACACATGCAAAGTGTGTGATAAAGTGGTAAAAGCAGGCTGGTACTTTGGCACTAAAACAAGGGAGTGTGGATATTGAAGGTGGCGACACTCAGGACCGGATTACGTTCGATGGGGGCCCGGGGGCTGTTAGCTTTGGGGGGCTCCTCTTTGTAAACTAAACGTCTACCCGTCACTGTTTTACCACCACCCATGCATGCTATTGTTATTTTTACCGAGGTTATTTCTGTTCTGGTTTTTGTCAACGTTACATACGAATTGTAAATCTAAATCGAAGTTGAAATAAACAAAACGACCTTAATTGTGTGCACAAGACTGGCCGTCGCGCACACAGTCATGCTGTGGCTGCTATGAACTAATTACCTGCGACATTTATTGCGGTGATACAGAAGCACGATTCAACTAATGTGAAGCTGTATGTGTCGAGGCCGAGGGCTGTAGCCCCCGAAAGGCCCCTACACGCTAATCCGGCCAGGGCAAACCCTGAGCGTGCGAATGAGAGAGTAGAATTGCAGGTACATACCTCCCCACCAGGAGAGACAGTGGGCGGCTGAGAGGAACAGCAAGAAATGGAAACAACAACAACGTAAACAGCGAGGCAAGAGTGAAGGAACAAAGAAACATAATCAGGGGTGGGGGACGCACGCGAGACAGTAGGATGGATCGAGTGTTGGGTCGTGGTGAAGGGAGGGAGGGAGAGGAAGTGAGAGAGAATATGTCGGGAGAGACAAAAGTAGACACACAGCATCAGTAAACAAGCAGGAAGAACAACACATCACAAATTGCAAAGATTAAAATTCCCCCTCGGCTGCCAGAAGATGTAATTCCTTTGACACAAAGCATATTGGGCTGTCGTGTTTGTGAGAAAATGTAAACTTGACATTTACATTACTTGCTGATTCAAGAATATTGCAGAAAAGAGGCAACTGCAGTCAACAGTGAGACTGCAAATATGAGAAAATCAAGCAGACGGAAAAATAAAGGGAGAATCATTTGTGCACAAATAAGCAGTACATTCGTTTAACACAGGACATGCTTACATTTTAATGAGATGTGGCCATGCCACATCAAGGGCTGTAGCCCTAAGTGGGTGAATGTATGAATAACATTAACTAAGCACATATATATGAAAGCTCCCCCCAATACCACGAACGCCACAAGTGATTAATAAGCGAAAACAAAAAAACCCACATCAAATGCATGACATGTAAAAGGATGAGTTAATGGGACGCTGCTATGGTGTAACGGTCAGCACACTAGACTCGCAAAGCAGAGGTCGCCGGTTCAACCCAAACTTCCGGCCTGGCAGTTGAAACAATTGCATCATTTTTTTAACCCCCCCCCCCATCGCCTCTGTCAAACTCAGCACCATTCATCGCTGCGCCACGGTTAAGTCGATCGCCAGGTCACGTGCGGTGTGGGTGGAGTCAAGTGTGGTTGCTCCCATCCCTTCCAACGTCTGGCCAGTGTGGAAGAGTAGGCCGAAGTAAAGACAAAACGCCCTCGAGTGCTCCCTTTTAGTAGATGCCCTTCTGACAACAGTGGCATGAGGCAAGCCATCGCAGGGGTGTGCACTTGCACGTCTAAAAAGAAAATAACCCAGATCAAACAAGTACCATTTTCTGCACAGTTAAATGAATCTACATAAATGCACCACTGTACATTTCATGGGTGACCTACCCCAAAGTTTGTGGCCAGTCATCCATGATTCCACCACAACCGCAAATTATTTCCCTTCTGATTCCTGGTATCCCTTCCTCATTACAGGAAATCCAGCCAATGCTGTTTCTGTAGAATCTGCAGGCCGGGCTGTGTGATTAAGCCAATCTGTTTTTATTCATTATTATTATTATTATTTACAACAAATATAGGAACTACAACGATAATTTTTGGTTGAAAAATTTTCAGCAGGTTATTTATTATACATTTTATTCGTTTCTGTTATTGGCCCTGGTTGCGAGCCTTCTGTTATTGAGCTGCCACTATCCTTGGAAGTGAATGACGCGAGGCCTGTACGTGAACAGAAAGGATTTGTGCTCGGGGGTTGTATCGCTGCCTTCATGCATTTGAAAACTTTAGAGGCTGAGCGCTTGACAAAAGAACAATCAATGCTTAATAAAGGTAGCCGCTGATCGAATTGATGCGATAGTATTTGACGGCACACTGACGATTATTGAGGAAAATCCCCTAGATCCACAAAACTGGCTTGCGAGGCAGTGTCTGTCACTTGTGCGTGTGTGCGTGTGTGCGAATCCGTCTTTGTGGGGATCGGTAGTGTCGTGGTTCACGCAGTAAGCCATGAGCCTGGCGACCCGCGTTCGATTCCCACTCATGGCTAATATCACTGCAGATATATCTGAACTAGTCCTGGGGCTCCCCAGAGGTCAACTCAGCATTAAACGAGCACCTCGCACACCGTGTAAATGTCAGCACTTGGGGGAATGAAGGCAGATGGGCATGGCACTGGCCGCATCGTCCCATTGTGCACCATGTGGGCTTGCTAACAGCACTCATCCCAACAGTCTATGTAGGCTATACAGGATATCTTTGCCTTTGCTTTGTGGCGTGTGTACGTATGGTCGCGTGTGTTCTCCGCATGCGATTCTGGCCACACCACCCCCATCGTGAGCCACGCTGGCTTTAATAGGTGCTCGCTAACAGCGCTCACCCCACAACAGCCTTTTAAGGCTAATACGATGAGGATGGGGGGGTGGAGGGGGGTTCAGGACTGCCCACGTGCATTTGTGTGCGAGTGTGCCCCTCTCCCCACTCGGCTTTTTGGGAAGAGCAGCGATCCGCGGGCGTCGTGCTCCCAAAGCTGACAAATACCGAGCGGGGAGCTGTGGCGCCAGGGCGCATCAAAGCACACGTTTGCATGGGAAGTGGAGTGGAAAGGTCAGCGTGCGATGGAAAGGTCAGGCCGTCAGGGTCAGGAGGAGCGCAACCTTCCCCCCCCCCCCTCTCCGCCTCACCCCACCGGCGGCCCCCCCTTGCCCATCCCCATGCAAGCGGCCGTGCACATTTTCCTTTGGACACGAAACATAAATACGACGGTTGCTGGGTTCTCGCGTAACTCGACGCCAGAGAGGGACAAGGAGTGTCCCTTTTGTGCGTCCTGACACGTGGAGGGCTTTGCCCAGCGCCAATAATCGGGGCCAAGAGGCAAGCGACAAAGGGGAGAGAGAAGCGGCGGCCTCTGCCTTGCCGGAATGAGAGAAAATGAGAAGCTTACGACAGCCCTGGGGAGGCGGGGGGGGGGTAAAAACCTCAGGGAAGGGGAGGCATGCAATTAGTCACGTGGGGCACCACAACACAGGCAACGTTGAAGAAACCTTAAACCAACGTTAAACGTGAAACAGAAGGAGTAATGACACGGGCTGCTTATTGTCTATCGTGCAGGCTGCTCCATGTGTACGAGGAAGGTCTGCGACGACCCAATGCTTAGTCGTACGATGATAAATTAGAAAGGGGGGGGGGGTGAGGCTTTAGAAGAGAGGGGGCAGCGGGGGGGGGGGCACAGCCCCCTTCAGCCCCAAAGCAACACTGCTCGAAGGGGCTCACATGGCACTTAAAATAGCAGGAAACAAGTTCACACAAACGGAGTTGCTTTTTATAGGTTCGTTTCAGCGTTCCAAGAAACGCGAGATAATGGCCTTTAAAATGTAAAGTCGTTCAAAAGTTGAAATGGCATTGCCTATGAATCACAGCATTAGGCACTGTCAGAGCGAGTTCATTTCTTGACCCAACGCTTGACAGAGAACGACGAAAGATCCATGCGAACACTGTCAATTTAAATAAAAAAATTACCAGCAGAATTTACCAGCTCGAGTACCACCCACATAGCTGGCAGTCAAGTGGTTTTCCGGTGCATTGTCTTGTCACTGGCATGTTAGGAAATTCCACCACTGGCTAATGGGCTGAATAAGATAGTATGTATATCTCTGGCATGCGCCTATTACAGCGTGCATCGTCGCAGCAACGGCTTTTGCCTGGCCATCGAAGACGATGGTCACTGCATCATGCGCTTTTAGATGCGCCTCTGCGGCCGTCTGGAACCCTCTTCCGTCCGGCATTAGGAAGCCACTGGAGCTACGCACTTTGAAATCGAGGTTAAAAACTGATTTCTTTAGAACTGTTTTTGGTTTTTAGTTTGTCGTCCTTCCCCCTTACCTCATAATTTCACGGTTGGCTACGTACAGTTCAAAATAAGTTCAACATGCATACGTACGTAGTATGTACATATGTAGGCTGGGCCAGTGGGGGTGGTCAATAATGGCGGCCGTCGAGGTTACCAAGCCGTGGGTGGGGGGGCACCGTAAAATTCACAAGCGCAGAAACCGTTATGGATTTTTACACAATTGTATGGACGTGTCACAAGGCGTGAATATAATGATTAACACACACACACACTGGTTACATGACAGGCAACAAATAACAACAAATGAGAGCCAACTGATAACACAAGTGGTAAATACAAACAACAACAAAATCGAATATATATAAAAAAACACGCTGGGCGGATTGACAAACCATTCGTGGCAGAAGCCGTCAACAGAACACTGCAACCCTCCACTCTTACAATGAGCGTATTGTGACGTGCATGCGCAGTTTGAAGGAGCAACCAGAGGAAGAAAGGATGGGTGGTGATTTGGAGGTGGAAGGGTGGGACAATTTAGCGAGAGCATTCTTACGGAAAGTAACCAGTTATACGGCAGAGGAAAGAACTTAAGTCTGGCCTTAAAGAATTTGGGTGAGAACTCAAGAGACTAGGATGCATCTCATTTGCAGGTGACCTGGGGCATGAGTCTCCCAGTAGGGGACGATAATAGCCATGTAGAGTCCCAATCAAGTACATGCTGCGGGTAATTTTCCAAGATGGGAGAGGGAATCAGAAGTGGTGGAGAACCAGGGGCAGAGAATGTCAAGCATCAGGAGCAGATCAGGAGCAGAACAAGACCAGCGTAGAGCCCCCCTCAACAGGCTTTGTGTAAACCAACATTAGGTCCCTTAAACAGCGTGTGTGCGCAGCAGCGTGCGGTGTGTCTATCCCCTCCTCATTGGTTGTTCCCCCAGGTTTGGGTCAGGTGTCAATATTGAGCGGTAGGAGGCTGCATCGCCGAGGACAAAGTTAGAGAGCAAATGGACGGCGCGGCAAATAAAGCTACCCGGAAGGCAAACCGAGCAACTTTTTGAATAATTGAGGTTTGAAAAGTGATTTAAAACTCAAGGTATTATTTTAAAAGGCATGGTTATGGACTTAGTATGACAAATATAGTTTGTACACATCTACAGCCCTGTTGTCAAACCACTGCTGGATGAAGGCCTACTCACGCCGTGTCCTTTCATCGGAATTGCTCGACCAGACATTGCCATGCTGCTTTGTGGTCTGTGCAGGCCAGTGAAGGCGAGGAGCATAGATGTTCAGTACAATAATGGCCTTTTCTTCCAAGCACATAGCCCCACAAATCATGCAACAAGCAATTTGCGCAATGACGGTCAGCCTTCCACGAACTACCCAGGACCAATCCGGCTCCGTTTCCGAGGTCTGAAAAGATGCAGTGCATTCTGGACGACTTCCTCATTGCAGGCACAAAGTGATATTACTTTGTCGCAACAAAACAAAATCATGTTGGGGCACATCTTCTAAGATTGAAAACTAATTTCTTTAGAACTGCTCTTTGTGTTTAGTTTATTGTCCTTCCCCCCGCACCTCCGATTAGCCAGGTTGGCTACGTACGGTGCAAAATAAGTTAAATATACATACACGTGGTGAAGCAGATGGCATGCCATTTGTGATCCCCCAGTGCAGTATTCTTCACTAATTTTCAGACGGGGGGGGGGGGGGAGGGGCACTTTCGCCAGAGACTGAAGGGGAACCAATATTCCTGGCTATTAGTTCCCAGTGGCTAAGCAGAAGAGGGGGGGGGCAAGGAGGATTGGGGGGGGTTCGGTACCGGCGGCGTGTCGTCAGCGCTGCTGCACTCGCCGGCCATCTTCGGGGCGGCGATGCCCGTGATACCGGTGAGGGAGACGTTGGAGAGACGGCGCCGCCGCAGGCCGCTGCAGTTGTTGGGGATCTTGAAGGCGCAGCGCTTGTGGTAGTTCGACCCGCAGCCTGGGACGGCACGCGTCAACAACAACAACAACAATGCACTGGGGTGAGCATGCTAGTGGATGGTGGTGGGGGGGGGGGGGGTCGGCTGGGGAAGAAGTTTTAATTGTCATCATCAGCCATGATATCAATCCATTGCCGAGTGAAGGCCTTCGCAAGCTTCCGTCATTCTGTGACGGTACAGCGATGGAAACGATCCCCCTAACACCTGCACAAAAGGCAAAACTGATGTCACAACAAGTTTGCTGAACAAATTCATTGTTTGGAAGAGGCACAACTGTAAAATTGAAACGTGTGTGTGTATATATATAAAATATATGACATTATTGAATGTGGACCAGGATCAAAATGATGAAATAAAGATCCAATCGATTGCGGTCCAAAATGCTTTTGGGAAATCATCCATTCCACTGTAATAACAATTTTCGTCAAAACTTTTGTTTTTACACTGGGACCGGACCACCTATACGGGGCTCACTCATTTACCAGGCTTGACATGTACCCTTGGCTCCTCAACATTTACACCACCACCGCCCCAACCAAGCCTCGTCAGTGCCCATGATCATCTCACACACACAAAGTGATGGAGGAACGTTCGTGTTGTGCACACCTCCTGGGCAGTTCAACTATGAGGACGTAGATTTCAGGCGCTTCCAAAGACGCGGGTAAAATGTTTTAAGTAAAGTCACACGTTGGTAATTTTTTCACTTGGACATAGTACGTCAATCACTTTGGAGTGTAATTTAGATAGAAACAATGTGTCCTTCGTTTCGTTGGCGAGGAAGATTTGCTCCTAAAACCGCCGAGCTTGGGCGATTGTTGGCGCCTGTTCTGGCTGCCTTCCCACTTTGTCTGTCGGTTTCCCGGGCCTCTGTGTGAAAACTGTGGGCATTACAAATTCTACAGGGTTTTGAGATGCAATTCGCATGGATGACACAATATAGAACTACAATTTTTATTATTATTATTAAATACCACGCGTCAGACGATCCCACTTTTTCACCCATGCTGCGATGGTGATGGTGCATTTGGTTTAGTGTTTGTGTCAAGCCATCGACTTACTGCATAAAAAATCCACACGAGACTAGAGATGTGACAGCCCGTACGTATTATTAGGATGATTGTGAAATGTTAACCATGGGGTTGCCTAAATTATGGAAGAGTCTGCAGCAAGGATGTCGGCACTTCGAAACTCTACGACGACGATAGGAGGAGGCAAACAGGAGCGACAGAAGCAGTAGAAGCAGTAGTAGCAGCAGCAGCAGCCGCAGCAGCGACATCACGGATCGGATCAACAATCTAGGCCCAACCCATTCCGCTCGGAAACACGCGGCGTCCCGAGCTGCGATTGCAGAATCCGTCGATCCCAGATCGTCGGCCTAATTGGCCATCTTTAGACCCACAGGTAAGACAATGACGGAGGACGGTCATCCTCAGCGACGATTGTTCGTTTCAGTGTTCCAAGAAACGCCAAAGAAATTGCACACGTGTGCAACGACACATTGATTTAACTATTGAAGGAAATATTCACCCTCGATGTGCGTTCATCCAATCCTGTGCGGTTAGTTTGTTAAGAATTTTTGAGGATTGTACGGAAACGTTAGGTTTTGGGTGACGGAGAAAGAGAACAGGCAAGGTGGTTCAATTGAGATGGAGAAAGAAACTCAGAGAGACGTAAAATAAAAAAAAGACTAAACAAATGAGACGGAACATAGGAGAGACATTGCGAACAAGTACCGTAATTTACATTTGAGCACACACTACAATTTAAGTAGATGAAAGGGTATGCCAGTCTTATTGTATGTGAAAAAAATAAAATCTGCAATCATCACAATCGTGATAATTCAGCAAAAATCTCTGGGGGTGGGGGTGAATTGTTACACGCCTCGAAAATACGTTCAGGAAATAATAAAACTGTGCTAACAAAAATCTTGAGGGAAGCAGTGTTGCAGTGGTTAGTGCACCGAGATACGAACCCGGTAACCCAACTCCAATTCCGGCCATCAGTGAGGAGTGATATCTGAACCAGCACCCCTCCCCCCCACCACCACCATCACCACACATTCAGCCACCTACACTGAGGCCGGTTGTGAAGTATGGTCAAACAATCCTTATGGCTGTGGACGGTGGGGGTGGGGGGGGAAGAAGGAGGGGGGAGAGAATTACTTCAGCGAGCAATGGATCGAGAAAGGGGCCGCATATTATTGATATGCTTATTTATCTCTTTTTGAAATGATATTGAGGAATAATGACGGAACAAGCGGGATACGCGTGTCGTCTGTCCTGAGGCAGGGAACACGCTGTGCTGCCATCGGGGCACAACAAACCCCCCTGTGAACCTCTCAAGAAGGGCAGCACGCGCACGAGCGTTTATTGTGCGTTTTCACAAAAAGGGGATAGAGCACGCGCACGTGCCAAACGGCGTGACCTCCAACGATCATTGCGCTTTGAAGGAAGTGCTGCAGAACAACAAAAGGACATGGGTTAGATTATAGACATTATCGTTAGAACACGAAAGACAACGACGTGGAAGGCGTTTATCGACGAAGCTACTGCATGCCCGCTTGTGTTTTTTTATTCGTGATTTTTGAAATCTGAACGAGCCCACTGTGATGCAGATTAAGGTCACGTGGCTATTCGTCACGTTTACGGACAGCTCCCTCCTATCCGCCACCGTGTATTCATTGAGCTCTCTCCAACCTTGCCCCGTACATTTAAACCATGAAGCGGAGCAGGTGGCCCCTTCTCCCGTGCTGCACCTTTCATCTGCAATTCCCTCTCCCGCGAGTCAACATCATTGCAAAGTCGCTTCTCCTGGCTCACAAACCTTTCTCTGCACTCGTTCCCAAGCAACCTCCCACCTCTTTCCCTTGCTTGAATGCAATGAATGCCTCCATAGTGTGTATCGCATCTTGAGATGCAGTTGTATTTAGATTCGGTCCAACTATGGCTTTGAGAAAGGTAAGGAGTAAATGAAAAAAAATAAGTGAGAAGTAGAGAGGCAGTTTTTACTTTCAACGTTAGATTTTATGGGAAGGCAAGTCTGAAAGAAGCACTCAGGCAGGACTCGTTTCTGCGAGCGATTATTGGCAGTGGTTTAGTGATGGTGGAGTGGCAGACAAAGGAAGAAAACTTTCCTGAGAGGCCGCCCACCATGTACGTGTGCGTACGTTGAACTTTTTCGCACCGTACGTTGGTAACCGCGCTAATCGGAGGTGCGGAGACAGAGCGATGGGACGGGCTTGTGTGCTAGTGCCAGATGGATTGCTGCATCACGAGACGGTGATAGATGGGATGAAGGCTTTGGGCAGGCCTCCATCCAGCAGTGTTTAGATCATGGCTGACGATGATGATAATTTAATGTCTATTGTACTGCTTATCTATAGACTATAAAAGACCAGTACAATTTCACAGTTTAAGTTCTCCACAAAGGCTTCACGCCGTCTGCACAGGACCCAGGTATTTATTCATTTAACAAAAGACTATTTCCAACTCTCATCTCCAATTTTTTTTGAGAGAAATGGGAAAATGTTTAAGGCATCCTTCGAAACCCTATTAAGTTAGCATGCCTTAGTGGAAAAAAAATGTTAGTTCACATTTTTTTTGACATTGGTCATATAGAGCTCATGACCAATAGCATAGTTCCCTTGTTCCTTCCGGCGTAATGAGCCCCGAGCCTCGACTCTCTATCGTGAGTCATCCAATTAAGTGCTGTGACTGACAGAAATGTACTCCGTCACAAGTTAACAGAATCGGCTTCTTCTAAAGTAGGCGAGAGGGCACAGCTCGTCAATCGGCAGGTCGCGCGTGTTGGGATGACGCGTTGGTTACCTCCACCTCTTCCAATGAATCCGACCAGCATGGAAGAGTCGGCCTACATAACCTCGAGAGGAGGTTCTCGAGAGCTGCACCAAAGGGAAGTCTCTTTCAAAGGTGGTGGCGTGAGCAAGAAATTGCAGGGCTGCCCCTGAACCATCATCAGTATACATTTAAATTCTGATTCATCTCCTTAAGACTAGAAGGGTTGCCTGCCCTGTAGATGGGGGTGAATCTTCCCCATTCGCCCCATCCTTCTTAATCATATATATTCCATGAATTAAACACTCATTAATTGGCCAATAACTTAATACAGGGTGTTTTAAAACGTTGGACTCAATTTGAAATCGCAAAATCTCTGCAACCACGAACCGCTCATGAATAAAACTCTTGCCGCTTGAAAGGGCGGGGCACGAAGTTTCAAATGATTACCGCTAGATGCCTCTCCCAGCGCACAAACAGCCCCTAGCCTCAGTAATTCGTAAGATGGTGACCCCGCAACACAAGGGGCGTTTTGCGTTCTGCAGTTCAGCAAGACTGAATCCGTAATTTCGGTGCAGCGTGCGTTTCAACGGCGTTTTGGCATTGATCCGCCAATGTCAAAGAGCATTCGTCGTTGGTACCGACAATTTGAGGAAACAGGTTGTTTATGTAGGGGGAAGAGCACAGGGCGACCACGCACCCCAGAGGAAAACGTGAGACGAGAGGCGTTTGGGACGAATTCAACTATCGTCTCGATGTTGTCCGTACAGCAGGTGGAGGGCACATAGAGCATTTATAAAATGGTTAGTAAAACTTGGTAACTCATTAAACCGTTTGTAACTTTTTGTGTAATTGTAACATGTTGCCATCGTGAAATATACTGCTTTGAAATTGGGTCAATCTTTTTAAACACCCTGTACATAGAAGATTGCAGAGCTTGGGAAATGGGAAATTGTTTGTCGCCGGCTCACCCAGTGGCTGCTTTCCCGCTTGTCTGTGGTTCATTGTCACGGCTCCAAGTCGTTCTCCGTCTACGAGAGCGAGCGACTACTGTGCATGTCACAAGCTGAAATGATTACTGTTATTGTCATCACAGAGGCCAGTGGTGGTGGTGCCCATGCAATTATTGTCAAGGTTAAGCTTGAAGCATCGGTCACAAGTCACCCAACCACTCCCCGCACACCTGAGGCCGTCTTAAAGAAAAG